TTCGATGCAAGAATGAAAATGAGGGATGCAAAGCTAGGGTCCGGGCCATCAAGAGCAAGAGAGTCGGCCATTGGGTCATATCCCGTGCGGTGAACACACACACATGTGTGTCATCAATAACATCCCAAGGCCATCGTCAGTTGAAATCAAGGGTGGTTGCCGCGGCTATCAAACATCTAATTGAGGAGGAGCCCGCCCTGAAGGTGAAAACCATCATCGTCGACATTTCTAGTCGTTATGGTTATATCATTAACTACAAGAAAGTGTGGCATGGGAAACAGAAAGCCATGGCTACCGTGTATGGTGACTGGGAAGAATCATATGCATTCCTTCCCAAATTGATTTTGGCGTTGGAGGTGTCTAACCCTGGCACCATTTTCTCGCCTCGCTACCAAGATGAAGAAATCCAACCACCGGTGCCTGGTAACAAACGCCAATTCAAGCGTCTTTTCTGGGCATTCAAGCCATGTATTGATGGTTTTCCATACTGTGTTCCTGTGATTCAAGTTGATGGGACATTCCTTACCGGCAAGTACAAGGGTACTCTACTGATCGCCAGCGGAGCAGATGCAAATAGAGCAGTATATTCATTAGCCTTTGCCATTGTGGAGGGGGAGAATACCGATATCTATGGATGGTTCTTCAGACAAATCCAGCTTCATGTCACCAGGCGGACGAACCTGACTATCACAAAGTTGCTCTATGATACCTAAAGTCCTTCGGGGCGCGTTTTGTATGGAAGGGTGGTATTTTTGGAAATTGTTGGGTATGTGTGATATTTTTGTTAATTTTTTTTATAGTGGTAGTTTTGGATTTTTTCCAACATTTTCTCCAAAATTGTGCCCATGACTCGTGGAGACTCTCTCTCGGTAATGGTTTAGGTATCCCGGAAACCAAGAACTTTGTGTGCTACTTGGGATCCTGGTCATCCACGACCGCGTATCCAAGGCCACCTACGTGGACTTGATAGATAATGTGGATGCTCGACTTGTAGGATGGAAGGTCTCGACGATGTCACACTGGCATTTAGGATAATCCTGACTCATTCTGCCTTGTCTTCTCTACCAGCGTACACCAGGCAACTACTTTCCTACTGGCCAGTGTTCGCGAGTATTATCGATAAGAAACTCCGAGCCTTTATATGGGGCAGCTCCAAAGCAGGAACGAAGATCCGTATTCTCGACTGGCTTACCCTTTTCCGTCCTAAAGAAGAAGGTGGGTCAGGAATGCGCGATGTTACAAAGATTAATGATGCGTTCATGTTAAAGATTGCATGGAGGATCATGGTGGAACCAGATAGCTTATGGGCAAAGGTTATCCGTATAAATTCGAAATAGGGAAAAGATGGTCGACCACTTCGGACAATAGGACGAGTGCCAAATCTCTGGCAAGGCATCCTTCATGTCCTCCACTTCCTCCCAAAAGCTACAATCTAGAACATAAGAAGCAGTAGGCGCAGTTCTGGATCGACCAGTGGCTTCAAAATGGGTCTGTTCTTACTGATTTGGCAAATGACATAGCATTGGAAGCTGCGGCACTTTCAGTGGCCGAGTTGGTACTCAACGACAACCGGAATATCGATTACATTAGAGCTTTCTTACCCCTAAGCTCGTGTGGTGATGCAGGTTCAACTCCATGAAGTACCCTATGAGGTTGAGGCGGACATGCCCACATGGCGCTTTACACCAAATGGGCAATTCTCCCTCAAGATTTCTTACAACTTAATTGATGACAATAGCCAGCCAACGGATTTGCACCTAATTAGGAGGACAATATGGCACACCCCGATGACTCAATGGATACATACCTTCTTTTGGATGACCATCCTGGACCACTTTTTGACGAATGCAGAGAGAAAGAATGCATATGAGTGATACGACCAACTTCCCTATGTGTGGCGACAGTATCGAGATGATTCGTCATATGATAGGGGATTGCCCTTAGTGTGCGTTGTGTTGGCTGACTTCCTCGAGACCCAGACGGATGATACGTTCTTTCAATCAGACATGACCAGTTGGGCGATGCATTACCTGGAGGAGAGAAGTAAGGTGATTGAGGCTACTATGTTATTGGTGTTGGTTGGCTACTATGGAAGAACAGGAACTCACACGTGTTCGAAAAAGTTATTTATGAACTTGCCTAATTGCAATTTGGAGTTAGGACAGTGAAACAACATAACGTGGAAGCTTTTGCACGTGAGAGGAAGGTGCTAGGGGCAAGGACTATGAGGGAGTGAAGGTTGGTCGGATGACGGTTACCACAACCATGTTGTGTTTTCATAAATACTGACGGCTCTGCTTCACTGTCACAACAAAGCTCGACGACGAGAGGAGTGGTTCAGGAAGATAGTGATAGATTCTTGGAAGCTTCGCGATGAACATTGGTGGCGGATCCATTGTCAGGCCGATCCGATGGGGATCATTCAGGGCCTAAAGTGTGCTTGGGATTTTGACTTGTTCGTAGTCCATCTGGCTTGTAAAGCAAACCACAGTGGCAGATTCCTCTAGTGATTGCTTGTTCATAGTCCATCTGGCTTGTAATGTTGGCCACAAAGTAACTGAAGGTCAGGCTTGAGTTTTGAAATGTCCCACATTTTTCCTAGATAGATTCCAAATATTTCGAGATTAAAAGAAAAGGGAAGGATTGGCCTAGGGGTTCCACAATCAGAGTGGATCACCAGTTATGCCTATACCTATGTTTCTCCATAGCTTTGAACGTGATGGTTAGGCACTTTGCATAATCATTCTCGGGGATTTCATCGTCAAGGTTATCCTCCTTCATTGATGATACAACACTTTCGAAGTTAGAGTCAACGATGTACCAGTAATCCTGGATCAGAACCTCGCGAAACAATTTCCTGGATCCTATACCCCATGTTGATGGCGCCCGCACATCAACGTCTTCCGGGTTCGGTAAAATCACAACTGGGATCGCCAAAGAACTCATGTTGCTCGTGTCCTTGTCTATTACTTCTGCTTTAAACAACGAACTGGCGCACATTGGCTTTCCGTTTTTCTTTGTTTGTTGGAACTCCCTTTTGATTCCTTTATTGGGGGGATGAAGTAGCCAATGTCAGTTGACGGATGGCAATGTTCAGTTCAAACAAGTTGGTGGTCTGGGAAGCAGCCTCAGCGTGGACACTGTTATGTTGAAGATGTCGATGCTAGATACCACAATCATAACAGTCATACCAGCATTATATCGTAGTCATACTCATACATGTGTCAATCAACTTAATATCGCAACCATACCGCCATATAAATCATAATCATTGACCAAAAAATGCCTGACATGCTTCAACACAATTCGAAGATGCGGATGCATCCAAATCAACAACTGCCCTTTGTATATTAAGATCACCAGATGATCCGTCCATCTACATAAACAACAACAAAAAAATCGCCCACACGTTTCAAACAAATCAATAACAAGTATACATAAATCAAATGAAACTACTAAAAATACAGATTTCTACCAGAATATCAATAGTAAAACACAAAAACTAAAACACATCAAGCCTAAAACATAAATCACAGTGATCAGACCTTCAATTTACAAGGAAAATTGCTATGTTATACCTCAAAATCACTGTATCGCTTTGTTATACCTCAAAATAACGAGCGATGAAGCGGAAAAATGATATGTCTAACAATGGACATCAATTTATCGATGAAAAGCTTTTCCTCCAATCCAAATGCAGCCAATCAACTAAAAAAACGCAGTGACCCTCTCTGTTATACCCAAGGTTCCAAAATGCGCTAGGCGTAAGGCAGGCATTGGGCCTTTGCCTAGCGCCTAGCTCGCCTAGACGTAGATTAAGCGTGCCTAGACGTTGGGAGGAAAATAGTTATTCGCACTGCATGATGAATGAAATAATAATCTACAACACTTCCTCAATTTAGTTAAAATGATTAATAACTTACTCAACACTTAATATTGACTTCCTAGCTCCATCTAGTAATGTTTAGAAGAGACTTATATGTCGCCTTACTCCATTGTTATGTTCCAGTATATAATTAGACGCAAAACCACTAAGCGATGCGTTTTACCACCTTGCGCCTAGGCGTAAAATTAAACGTGCCTTTTTTAAACATTTTGTATAGTAACCAAGCCCTTTTAAAAATATTAAAGAACATTATTTCCACTAACACCGATTACTGTAGCTCAAGACACCTTTTACTGGTCATAAAGACTCAATTTTACTATTCACCCAGCTCTGATTGGTTGTTCGCCTGCGGTGGGCCCCTTTTCTTGGACTTCGTTGTGTTGTGTTGGGGATAGCGTCGATCACGCGTCGGCCTCCAATGCTGCCTTCTTTTCTCCCGTCGCTTGCTGGGATAACCCTGATTTGGGATGTGATGGTCTGGAGAGAGTAAGAGGGTGGTTGTTGAGGTGGCAGAGAGGAGGGGTTCTTCGTGCAGAGAGCTGGAGAAAAGAGAGAGGAGCAGGGGAGACTGGGAGTGATTTTGGTGATGGTTCGAGAAAAGAGAGAGGAGCAGGGGAGACTGGGAGTGATTTGAAAGAAGAGAGAGGATCGTCAGAAACCCCTCTTCCTTTTCACCCTCTATCTTACTCACACTGTTCTCTCTGACCTCTTTCACTACCAGCCATCCTCCCCGAATCTTCTCCTTCTCTGACCTCTTTTCACCATTCTTCTCCTTCTCTTCTCCCAGCGATCCATCTCCGACGATCTCTCTTTTTCTCTTTCTTCTCTCTCTACTTTCTCTGAACATTTCGGGTGTGAGGAGCAGCCTAGGAACTGGAAAGAACCCGCCAGGGGCCATCATTTTCCAAAAATCCGTGCCTCCGGTTGTGAACATCTGCACCTTTACCTGGCGAGCAACAAGCGACCAACTGCCAGTTGAAGTCGAGGAAGTCATAAGGTTCCAGTCAGCTCTGGATCTGTAAGTTTCGTTTCGTTGTTTCTTCTCTTTTGCATCAGTGGTAGCCTCATTCGTTTTTTCGTTTTTTATCAGTGAGGATGGACGGGAATCGGCAATATGCTTGCTGGGTTCGGGTGAGTTTTTTCTTTCTCTCTCAGAGTCTCTAAATCTCTCTCTTCGACGGGTTTGATGTGAGGTTTTCATGGTTAATTCCGCATCATACTTTCAGATCTGGTCTTAGCCGCACCATCTTCATCGATGAGGGGAAAGCTCGGGATGAACCAGGTGAACGAAAAATGGCCTCTTTCTCTCTCTTTTGTGCTTTGGTTTCCCTCTCTATTTCCATCTTTCCATCTAACCTTTTCTTCTCTTTTGTGGTCTTTGTTTGCATATTCTTCCCTCTGCAAGAGATTCCTTGGAGGTGGGATTGACGAAAGGCCATGGAACTTTCGGACTACGGAGACAGAAAGGAGGGGATTCCATTTTTCGTTTATAATCTTTGCATTCTCGCTCAATTAGCCAAGGTGGGTCGCTAGATCTCTGACTGGAGAATACTGAAATTTTATGCAGTAATTTCCAGAATCAAGTTGGTGATAACTGTTAAGTCTACATCTCTGTTAAGTCTCGCTGTCTCTGGTGAGAGGAAATGAATGGACTCGAGGTAGTTGCGAGCGGCCAGCGAATCGTCGTCGGTTTCGAGAATCCCTATCTTCGGTGGTGAAACTCTGCACCGTGCACCTTTATCTGGCGAGCGACCAGTGAGGAACAACCAGTTGAAGTCGAGGAAATCATGGGATCTTTTGGTGAGCTCTTGATCTCTAGAATTTCGTTTCGTTTTTTCTCATTAGTGGCCTCAATCGTTTTGTTCCTGTTGTTTGTTTCAATCTGGATATTTACCAGTTTTTATTGATCCAACCTCTTTCTTATTCACTGCACAATCTTTCATAGGACTGATTCATTCAATTTCTTTGTGGGATATGCTATCAAGAAATTTGCAGTCAGAGAAAACATCGGCCAAGGTTAGGTTCGTCTTGCATCAACGAATCTGATATTTTTCTTTATTAGATTTGACTTCATGAATTTCATCTTTTGTTTGCTATTGATGGCTTGCGTTTAACTTTAATTCTCTGAATATTGCAGCTGGGATTTCGGACGATATGAAAGGTTATTGCGTGTTGGGATCAAGGAACAAACACATCTCGATAAGGAGGATTATGCTATGCTATGGTGATGAAACTTTCATTCTTCTGTTGCCTGAAATGTTGATAACCTTTGTTCTCTTATTTGAACTTTTTGCATGTTGTGTTGTTAGGTTATGAAGCGCTCAAGATGAGAGGTTTCAGCACTCCAAGGGACTGGTTAGGTTCCAGTGAGATCAAGTGGCGGTTTTAGTGGACTCAGAGACGCTTTGGAACTTCACATGATATCTCTGGCAATCCTCAGTACTGTGTTTATCTGTATTTTCTCTCTTTTTCTTTTAAATTTCTAAGCACTTCGGATTGTGGCCATAATCGTCTGTTTTGGTGTGACAGGTGAGGCAGAGGCTACAATTATGGACACACATGATAGCTTTGGACCTGATTCAAGCTTTCTCCTAAATCACCGTCACTAGCGTCCTTTCTTTACCTCTCCAATCTATACATTTGCATTCATTTACTCTTCCGGCGGGTCTTCGTACATTTGTTTGGAATTCTTACCGAGTTGGTTGTGGGTTGGGGTTTATGACTTCACAAGTTCTAGGTCTAGCCAGTGAGAAATATATCTTTTTAAAACCGAGCAATCAAGTTAGATGTTCAGTGAAATCTCCACAGTGGTTCTCCCTGTCTGTTAATTGTTTCTATTGATCATTGTTGGTTCTCTTGACAGTTGCATGGAGAACCTCCAGTCACGAGTTCCTTGAAATGTCACTGTGGTCTCAATGCAATTAGTCTCAACTGTTGTGTTTAAAGCGTTTCAGTTTCCCTTCCATGTTGATGATGTCCATTCATTTCCTCTGTTAAGTCTCGCTGCATAAACCATGCAACTATGACGAAGTCAGTGCGAGCATTAAACATTCTACATTCTTTGTATTCATTATGATAGATTTATAATAAAGTGGTGGCAGGGTGATGTGTTGATTTTTATCTTCCCAGGAAAGGGACACAGCTTTTTGGCTGTGATGATTTTCTTGGCCTGTAAATCATATAATAAACTTCCTTTGTGCATTCATTATATTATTCCTCCTTTGTTTCTTTCGTTTTATTTGTTTTTGGCAGAATCCACTGAGTTAATGGTTGTATTTGTTGTTGCCTTTTGCAGATAATCATCTGATTGATTTCGTGGCTCGGTGACCTTCCCGGGAACCAATATATCTCGACCTTTCCAAACTCCATTGTTTAGATTTCGGAATGTAAATCTCTATCCTCAATCTTGACATAGATCAGTATCGCTATATCTATTACTTGAGTTTCTCTGATTTGAGCATTCAAATGCTTTGTTGTTAGGTCATGAAGCACTCTATTTGAGAGTATCCAGCAACCCAGGGTATTTGATTGGACTTCAGTTAGATCAAGTGGTGGATCGGTTTAGTCTTTTTGATAATTTATACTTTATATTTGATTCCTCTCTTTTTATGCTCCCCTTTGTTGTTAATCCCTTTACTCTGTATACCAGGGAGGCTATCAGAAGGACCTATACAAGCTCTTTATTCCTATTTCATAGTCCTCTGAAATTGAAGAGGTGAGGCGTCGACGTGGAAACTCATCACTACCAGAACTAGAACAGTGCGTCGATCCACTAGCCTAGCCTGTACGTGATGATTGCGCTTTTGTCAATTGTGGTGTGCTTTTCTTAGCCACCTGCCAATGCCATGTAAAGCTCACAGCGATTATTGCTTTAAGACATTTTTTTTGGTCATTTGATTATTGTTATCAACACATCAGCTCTCAGTACATCACCAATTTACAGTCCAAGCAATTGCAGAGTACCACTCTTTGTCATGGTGTGTAAATAATGGATCGGTACTATGCTTAGATAGTTTTTGTTATTGAATTCACTACTTAGGTTAAATAATTCTAATGTCTTTCGTAAGTCGGCGTGAATACTAAATTTATCCAATTGCTAAAAATTATAAAATGAAATACTTGTCCTAGCGTAGAGTGCAGTTGTAGAAAACTTATTTCCATGTGTGCGTTCTCCCTGACTCTGCGTTATGGTATCAGAAGATTACACAAGTCAAATGTATCCCGCAGCAGAGCGCGGGCTGATTACTAGTATGATAATAATCGTGGACAGTGTTTCTCCTTTTACAAACACTCGGTCTCACCGTAATTTTTACACTATAATCCAAGAAAGAAACCCCCAAATCGGGTGTAAATATGGTTTCAATTTCGTGGCTCGGGGTCGAGCATTCACTGCCACCACCACCATCACATTCAAAGCCCTACACACCAGATCAGTACCTCCTCTCCATAAAACCCAACTCCTTCCCACCCTCCCAACCAATTCGCTGCCGACGCGCGCTGCCGTCGCTACCTCCGCCGCCTATCAATTCTCCTCCACCGGCCCCAACCATCACCTCCTCTTCCCCCGTCCCGCTTCGCCGGGGAAGCAGGGCAAGAATAGAAACAAGGGAGATTCGAGAACCTTCTATCCAATTTCTATTTCTTCTGCTGCTACCGAGCGTCGACGCCACTGTTGCTGCCGTCTCGGTTCCGCAATGACGGCTGCGGGGATGGAAGGGGGCGCGATGATTTTGGGGGCTCTACTCGCATCTCTGCTCGGGATGCTCCTCCTGTATCACTTGTTCGGTAAATCAAGGAAGCGAGCGGTAGTAGCTAGGGAAGCGGGCTCGAGTCCTGCGAAGACGCAGAACGACGGGGAATTCTCGCCGGCGGCAGGTACCGACGTCATCATCGTGGGCGCTGGTGTCGCCGGATCCGCTCTGGCTCACACGCTTGGGAAGGTATGTCGAGAAACGCTTGCTTGCTTCCACTTTGGATTTACCTTCCCCCCGCCCCCCTTTCAACTGCGTGGTTTTGGGGGTCGTTCGACCTGGTTGTTTGTCTGCTTCTGGAAAAAAAAAAAAAATCTGTTCGCCGATTTGCCGAGATTCGAAAAGGCTAATCGTCATGCTTGTTGCGTTTTTTTATTTTTTATTTTATTTTCTGCAGTTTTTCATTTTCTTGTTTGTTTAACTTTGACGTGTGGCTCTCCGATGGACGGTGGCGTGTCCAAGTGGCCAAGCCGGCATTTCAATAGATCTGTTGACGGCTTGACGCTAACTCGGATTGCGCCCGTGAAACCACGCTCAAGAGCAATTTCCCTTTACCGTGGTTAGGTCGACATTTTTCGCTATTACCAAGTTTTGACAAGTGGTTTCAGGTTCAAGCCAATTTTAATTTAATATACGGAGAAAACATTTAATACCAAATAAGTTATGTATATATTTAACATATTTAACAAATTATTTCTTTAAAAAAATATGTATTACAAAATTATCAACAATCATCATCAAATTCGGTTTTGATTGGTCAGATTACCCGTTTTTTAATTGGTTTAACCTGACTTTAATTGGTCAAACTCAGTTTTGATATTTTTTTTTTTCCAGAACCATCCAACTGGAATGTATTCCAATCGTATAAATGGCCGGTTTCAATCGAGTCCAATTGAACCGGTCGACCGGATTGGATTTTGACAACCTTGCTACGGTCGGTTGTTGCTTTGATATGGAGAAAAAAAATTGTGGAGTGGAGTTAGTGGTGGTGAAGCAGCTACTAGAACTAACCAGAAGTAGGGAGGATGGTGGCCTGGCTACAATACAAATCAGCTCCATTCTTTATGTTTTTATTCTTGAGTCTTTACTTCTTTTGGGTATTAGCGATTAAATATTTTTGTAGGTGTGGCCGTGGTTTTATTGCGGAATTGGAAGCTTTCCTCTAACCGATAATAGAATACAAGAATGCTTTTTCATGGTCTTAGAATTTCGTTTCTCTATTTTCTAACTGTGTAAATTACTAAATTGGAGCCTTCTTTTGTCCTTTTTCATGGTCTTCAATTTCCCCATTTAATAACTAGCTTTTTCCCACCTGTTGGGCAGGTGAATTCATTATATCATTTGCAATATCGGTCTAATTTTACATTTACATTTGAATGAATATTCTAAATTGTATGCCTAATATTAAATGTTTTGTACAAAATAGCTATGATTTCTCGTGCGATATCTCAATCCATGAAACGTGATTTCGTGTAAGAGAGTAAGTAATTTGTCAACTAAACATTCATAATTTAATCAATAATTTATAATCTATTAAGTAAACCATACATCTCGTAAGAGATCAATTTGTCTCTTGACTAAATCTACCACAAGCCCATATTTTAAATTATCAACATTATTTTATGCTAGTTGGATTCCCAACATTCGATCATGTTCTCAAATTTTATCATAGGTCTACTTATGATGGTTAGATTTGTTAATCCCAACATGTCTTGGGGAGTTGTCCTAGCAATATACATTTGTAAAAAATTCTTGATGTTTAGACAATATTTCGGTGAAGACACTTTAATTCAATTAGTGTATGCAATAACACCATACAACTTGGACGAATATAAAACAGTGCATCGTGTAGTGAATATAGCACAATTGAAGAATCGTTTTGAACTCTAAATTCATATATGTTTTAGAAATTTTTTTATTACACAACATAGAAAAATATAGTATAGACTCTTCTAATTTTAAATAATTATATATAAACATTAAACAAGCATAAGAGTATCTAACACTTAAGCCCAAAATTTATTAAGATAATTAGAAATGAAAAACAAACAAAACTCAAAATAGTGAAACGTAGTAGAAAGAAATGTCCGAATAGAAATTTTATTAACCAAACATTGACCGTAAAAGCAAGCGAAAACCTAACAAAATAAAGCAAAAATAAAGAATAAAAAAATAGGAGTATGTCAAAGCTGATGTGATAAGAGGCTTTTTTCTAATAATGTTTAATATTTTTCATTGAAATATCGTTTTGTATGAGTCGTTTGGATCAAGGATTTAAAAGATAAAAGTTTGTGTCAAATTCTCGAATTTGGAAAATGAAGCATTGGTGGCGAATTTAGTCCATTTTGGATTTGAGAAAATTGTTGTTTGAGTGTTAGATTTTAGGGCAATGTCTATTTTTTACCCAAATCTTTTTCAGATTCTTTTATTTTAACCAAATCTATAGAAATTCTATTTATTATCCAAACGTATTATAATTTATCAAAGTCTGGGCATTCATTCTGTTACCGTTACTTATTTTGTCCACGTGAGATGTGGGATTTTGTTTTGTTTTTTGATAATCTTTTTATTAAAAATAGTAAATGATGGTATTCTGACCGCCACGTAGGAAGTCAACTCATTATGGTCATACTTAGTCAGCATTACTAACAGAAAAGTTGACGGAGAGTTAACGTTTGGATAATTTTTAGGAATTCAATAGGTTTGGTTAAAATAAAAGAATCTGAAAAAGGTTTGGGTAAAAAATAGACATTGCCCTAGATTTTATGATAGATTGTGTTTAATATAATTTATAAGATTGAATTAGCCCTTTCGCATTTGTCAGAATCTTGTAAATATTTATTGATCGAGTTTATAAACCCTACAAATATTTGTATAATGGTTATTTGAAAGCTTATTCTTTGAAGGACTTGTACACTCAATATTAACCATTTACCAACGAAAATGATGAATTGAATACATGTGAAATCGAGGGTGTATTATATACACTGATGTCCTTTTTAAATCTATAGACTTAAAAGTTAAAACAGATATTATAAACACATAAACTGAATATAATGGTTATTTAACAATGCTTATAAAATAGAATGTATCAACTTATAAAAAATGATGTATATAAGATACATATCCTTTGTTCATAAGTATTTAACAAGGTTTAAAAAATGTTGGAGCCGATCTATGATTGTCCGAAATAATTGTAGTCTTTTTTATCAATGAAATTATGAAAAGTCTAGTAATCTTAAATTAAAAATACAGGCTATGATTACTACGAAATAAATACAGGCCATTGCCATTGAATTTACCCGCCTAGTTTGTTTCGTTTCATGGTGGAAAATTGTGAAAGCCCGTTTGCTCTGCTGCAGGATGGAAGGCGAGTTCATGTGATAGAACGAGATTTGACGGAGCCTGACAGAATTGTTGGGGAACTTCTCCAACCTGGGGGATATCTAAAACTCATTGAACTTGGACTTCAAGGTATGTAATGTACATGTTTTCTGGAACGCTTCACATGCATTCTGATTCCAAGTCCTGGCTGCGATTTGCTTAGCTGAAATCTGGAGCCTTTCCTGCAACCCTTTGTTGCTCAGATTGTGTGGAAGAAATTGATGCTCAACGAGTTCTTGGATATGCTCTCATGAAAGATGGCAAAAGCACTAGACTTTCATATCCCCTGGACAAGTTCGAGGAAGACGTTGCTGGAAGGAGCTTCCATAATGGGCGTTTCATTCAGAGGATGAGAGGAAAAGCTGCTACCCTCCCCAAGTAAGTAACACTTGGGGACCTGCCCCTTCTCTCTTTCTCTCGCTTCCCTTTTACTAGCATGAGAATTCTTACTCGTGTTTTCGTTTTTCGCGTGCTTGTTCAGTATTCGATTGGAGCAAGGGACTGTGACTTCCTTACTTGAAGAAGATGGGGTGATTAAGGGAGTTCAATACAAAACCAAAGATGGCCAAGAACTCAAGGCTTATGCTCCTCTCACTATTGTCTGTGATGGTTGCTTCTCTAATCTGCGACGCAACCTCTGCACACCAAAGGTGAAGTTTAGTTTAGTGTTATCAGCACAATCCTTTGGTTCCATTTTTCTGATAACATGCTCTTTTCCTGAGATGTAACTGTTTTCTCTCCCGTATGAACGTCAAGAGTGCAGGTAGATGTGCCGTCTTGCTTTGTGGGTTTGATCCTGGAGAACTGTCAGCTTCCATTCGCAAACCATGGGCATGTCATTCTAGCAGATCCATCTCCAATTCTGTTCTACCCAATCAGTAGCACGGAAATCCGGTGTTTGGTTGATGTACCAGGGCAGAAAGTGCCTTCAATTGGAAATGGTGAAATGGCTAAATACTTGAAGAACAACGTTGCACCTCAGGTATCAATTCTGCATGATAGGTTCTTTATTTAAAGAGAACAAAAGGGTTCACTAAACGGTTAGACACTAGTAGGTGTTTCCCACTTACAACTGGAGTTTCTGATGAAGCAAGTTAACCTTTCAGCTCCCTTCGGAGCTTCAGGATGCCTTCATATCTGCGGTCGAGAAAGGGAACATAAGGACGATGCCAAACCGAAGCATGCCAGCAAACCCACAGCCTACACCTGGAGCTCTTCTGATGGGCGATGCTTTCAACATGCGACATCCACTGACTGGCGGCGGTATGACAGTGGCACTTTCTGACATTGTCGTTCTTCGAGATCTCCTCAAGCCATTAAGAGACCTTCGTGATGCGGCCTCCCTCACTCAGTACCTCGAATCCTTCTACACCCTGCGCAAGGTTTGGAGACTATTTGGTTTTGAAAAGAAGTGAACTTCTTTATTTATCTCACAAACAGTTGTGCATTCTTCTGCCATATTATGTTGCCCCTCACAGTTTCTAAGTAATGTTGTTATGAACGTGGTTGTTCCTTACAGCCCGTGGCTTCTACTATCAACACCCTGGCAGGCGCCTTATACAAGGTGTTCTCCGCTTCCCCTGACGAGGCCAGGAAGGAAATGCGCGAAGCTTGCTTCGACTATCTGAGTTTGGGAGGAGTTTGTTCGTCTGGGCCAGTGGCCTTACTCTCTGGCTTGAACCCACGACCCATGAGCTTAGTTCTTCACTTTTTCGCGGTCGCTATCTATGGAGTTGGCCGGCTGCTCTTACCGTTTCCATCTCCTAAAGGCTTCTGGATTGGAGCTAGACTCATCTCAGTACGCACTTCTCGATACCTTAACATATGCAAATTCTCATTATTTTCTTCTTTTTCGAAATGAATCTCACTCGCCTGATTACTGTAAATTTTCATTGTTTTTTTTCTTTCCCACAGAGCGCTTCAGGTATCATCTTCCCTATTATCAAAGCTGAAGGAGTGAGGCAAATGTTCTTCCCTGCAACAGTTCCAGCCGTCTACCGACCTCCTCCACTTAACTGAAATCAAATTCACGTCACTGCAGCTGCCAGCGAATAAGCTTGCATGTTCTGAATTCCATGTTCTTGAGTCCATTTCGTAGTAGAAGAAGAAAACGTTTTGTTGACTGTATTCGAACATCTACGTGTGTACCCAGAAACTGTAAGTGTGCAAAAATTAGGATACATTGTGTCTGTATATGTAATAAGATGCTTAACTAGATCAAATACTCTTTTCTAGTGCAATAAGATGCCTACTCTTAGTACCCATCATCAATAGAACGATTATAGATGTTGCCTTGGTTCAATTTTTAGTCATGAGTTCATGGGTTCAGACCAGACTAACAATGCTCAAGCTTACATGAGTGACCAGTTTGGAAGGAATCGTACGCTAACTAGAAACTGAACCGAGCCAAAATCTCTTCTAAACGAAGAAACTCATGCATACCATCCACATCAGACAATAGCTTCTTGACATTGGATTCTCGATAAGCGACACTTCCCCAAGTTTACAACACTGGTCAGTGGTATAACGAATACCACTTTCATAGGTAAAGAAGGTGATCATCTCGTTCTCTACAATTTCTCCCTATCTTAATCCAAGACTCCTTACTAACTTAAGTGTTGAAAGCCTTCCAAAACTTGGAGGGCCATAGTATTATGTGCATACCCAGCTGTAGCCAGTCTGCTTCATTGTCGCAAATTTCTCCGCCTGCTGCCTCACGTTAGCTGCTTCTTCCCACTGACCAGCGCCTGCATATATGTTTGATAACAGCACATAAACAGATGCATTGTGTTGTTCAGTTTCGAGAAGAAACCCGGCTACCTGCCTTCCCAATTCCAAATTACCATGTGCAGCACAAGCACTGATCAGTGTCCACCAGATATTGGGATGAGCTATAAAATGCTCACTGTTTATTACCGTCTCCACCTCACCAAATTCCCCAGCTCGACCCAAAAGGTCAATAATGCAAGAGAAGTGATCTAAGCTGGGTTTAATCCCATATCTATCGACCATTGAGTGGAAAACTCGAGTGCCATCAGCAACCAAGCCTGAATGGCTGCACGCAGAGAGTACAGTTGTGAAGGTAGCCTCATCAGGACCAAACCCTGATGAAGAGTGTTCCATTGCTTCGAGATACTGCACAGCTTCTTTCCCATTTCCATGTTCAGCATAAGCAGATATTAGGGCATTCCAGGAGACCAAGTCTTTATGAGTCATGGCACTGAAGACCCTCAAAGACCAATCAAGAAGGCCACATTTCGAATAAGTTGTGATCAGGGCATTACCTAAAGCCCCTTTTAGACCAGACCAAAATCTCAGGATATAAGCATGTATCTGCTTTACTTGGTCTATAGCTGACATGCTTGCACAGAGACTCAAAGCAATGGTGAGGGCATATTCATTCGGGCGAAATCCTGACATTACTAGTCGAGAGAAATGTTGAATGCCTTGAATGTGAAGCCCATTTAACAAAAGACCTGACATGATAGTATTCCAAGAGACCAAGCTTCTAGATGACATGTCTAGAAATACTTTATGTCCTTCTTTTACATTGCCATGTTTGCAGTATCCCGAAATCAGTGAATTTGAAACCTGAGTGCTTGAAACTAGTCCTCTTTTGATTACAGTGCAATGAAACATCTCCAGAGTTGCTATAGAATCTGAGCTTGCTAATAAGCTTCCATATGTAAACACGTCAGGTCTAAAAATCTCTGCCTTCTGCATCTCCATGTATGTGGAAATAGCTGATCCACCAAGGTTAGATTGAGCATAGGCAGATATCATAGCATTCCATGATACATCATCCCTATCTTCCAGTCTCTCAAAGATCATGCAAGCTGCAACCAAGTCCCCAAAGTTTGCATACATAGATATAAGTGAATTGCAAACAGGGGCGTAAGCTTCAAATCCCGTTTTGATAACTTGGGAATGAACTTGACAGCCGATTCTAGGGCAGGAGCAGGAGCTGATGAGACTCATAAAAGTCAATTCAGAAGGTCTAAGACAGCAGCCCAGCATCTCCCTAAACATAATGATGGCCTCATCAACCATCAAAGCACTTAGGAAACCGTCAATCATAACATTGTAAGTGATATGATTGCGCAACTCGTCTGCTACTTCCTCGAATACCAAGAGGGCATTAGCGAATTCCTCATAAGTAAAATACATGGTAATTAGAGCATTCACAACAGAAGTTCTCGCCAGAGAACCAGTTCGGATCAACAGTGAATGTACCTGGCTCCGTAACTCGACTCTTTCAGAGCAACACCCGCTGAGAACACTTCCAAAGCTGTAATTATCAGGCATAACTCCTGACCTAAGCATCTCTCTAAACAGCCCAAATCCGATCAGCTCGTTCCCACTCTCCACGCACCCGGTGATCATCGCATTCCAAACGGGCACGTCTCTCTGAGGCAATTTATCGAACAGCTCAAAAGCATACTTCAAATCCCCCGTCTTGGAACACTCCGACAACACCGTAGTATAAGAAAACGCATCCGGGTTTCCGATTTCCCCGAAAACCCGTTTCATGGAGCTAGCATCCCGAGCTCTGGCGTACAGCAGAAGCAGCGTATTCGAAACGTGGAGGTGGGAGTACAGGCCGGATCTAACGGCGTAGGCGTGGAGCCCGTTGCCATATGCGGTGTTTCGGAGATTGGCGCATGCGGTGAGGGCTGTGGAGAGGGTGTACTGGTCTGGTTTGAGATGCTGATGGAACGAACGAAAATCGTCGAACAGATGGAGCGCATCTTGAAAATGGCTGGAACGAATCAAACTGGCGAGTCGACGATTGAGTTGCAGGAGTTGGTTTTTGGCGGGTTCAGTTATGGCTGGGTGAAGGAGCTCTCTCATAGGGTAGAGCCAATCATGGGTGCTCGGTTCCTCCTGGCCAACTTGTAGTCTTCGTCATCTACCCATATACTAGCATGTGCCGGACGGTTTGGCCCGAATATTTGAGTTTATAATTTTTTTTTAATTATTCATTAATTATTAAATCAAAAAAAATAATTTGTTATTGTTCTAATCAACGGTATAATTTATAGCTGAAAAGTAAAACTGCCACCCCCATTCAAATTTTCCTGTCCATAGAGTGATTTTAGGAAGCTGATGTGGCAGGGTGTTGAGCGGGAAAAAAATAGAACTCCCCGCCAGATTGCAGAACTAAGAATCGTCCACTACCCACCTTTTTCTCCTGGTTTCCCACGTTATCATTTAGTTATCATTTATTTTTCATTTAATTTTTGTTTGGCTGAAATACCACCTTTTCTACTAGGTTATCCTTTCGCCTACCCGCAGGACAGGAGGAGAATCAGTTTCCATCGGAAAATTCTGGTAAGAGGCGTCACGGTTTCGTGTTCAGCGGAGGAAGGCGCTGACGGCCGGCTGTTGCTGAGTTCATGGGAAGACGACCAGACATTTTGGTGGTCAGTGGCGGAAAGTAGTGACGGCCCGCTTCTGCTGCGACTGAGGAGATCGCGTTTGGGAGTGCAGCGAACGATCTCCGTGGCGAAGAGGTTGTCGACGATCGAGGCTTTCCCTTCCGGCGAGAAGCACAACTACTGTCGCCGCCACCACCGTCTTCCCCGCCGCCACGAACCCTGCTTCTTCTTTCTTCTCTGCTTCAGCCTCTAGAAGGTCGCTACAAATCGCTCCAGCTACTCGCATCCGTTGAGGAGCCATCGCCGCTGGGCTCGACGCAGCTGCTGCGGCCACCGCCGCCATCAGCGAAGCGCTCATCATCCCCTTCTTATCCCACCCGCTGTCGTTGCTTCCGTTTCCTTCCGCCGAGCAATTCACCACTCTCCCTCTCTTCGCCATCGACGGCAGCCCTACATATCACCCAATCGATTCAATTTCTTGGTTCCCCCAAACTGAATTGATAAAAGCCAGAGGTAATTGTGAATTTCAGGGGAGGGGGGCGTCAAGAGTACTCACCGAGAACTGGGGCGGAGGAAACCCCTAGAGAGGGGTTGCGACGGAGAGATGCATGGATGAAGGAAGAAGCTGTGGTTGTGGCGGAAATGGACGCCATTTTTCACACTCTGACCCTGGGAAGGAAGGAAGGAAGGGATTAGGACGGTAGCTGGTTCTGTGAGAAACTACTGGAAGTAGTGAGCTTTGCAGAGGTGATATAATTTGCACAGCTTAATACTGACCATAGAATTTGCCCCCATCACAAAGTTCCATGCTAAGTTACTCTCCTTATTGGATCTTTTAGTTGTGTATAATTCTTGGTTTCGTGATATGGTAATATGGTATTGGAGATATGAGCAGGTGAGGTTTGGAACGGACTAGAGCATTAGCAGCAGTTGGTTGTGAGATGGTATGTGTAAAATGGAATCATGGTAATTACTTGGCTCTACTCATATAGGTGGGCTATATTTGAACCTCAAGGGAAAAATTCTCTTGCCACTTTTTACGCTTTTTGTTTAGGTTTCCAACGTCAATGTGTGCCTGCTTTATGTCAACATAATCAAGCTTAATTGAAAGCAATACTTCTCACTTTGTTCACTCAATTTTTCTGTGTTTCACGGCTTTCTTATCTAACTTTTTTGTTTCTAAATTGCCTCTATTTTGGATATAACTTGCAGTTTAGGCTATGTAATCGACAACTAATGATTTAATCCATGACCTTCGGAAGAACGGTTTGAGTTTACATTTTCCTTATGTCATTAGTTCTTATAAGTAATTTGTTGAGTTCTTATGCTAATGTACATTCTCTTTTTTCTTTTTTTCCTTTAGTAGTTTGGTCCAAGAAATCATGTGATCATTAATTTTTTCTTTAAGATCACTAGGTTCATCGATTTAGTTTGTCAATCAAGCATTTAACCTTCGTTTAGTTCCTAATTGAGAGCGTAAGATCATTTGTATAATAATAGTACATGCCTCCGATACTGTGTTAAGATGGAACTGAAATGAGTTGGATGTAATGTCTTTGTTTGGTCCACTTTTATTCAGTGTTCAAGAAGACGCGATTAATCTCTCGCCTAGGCGCGATTAATAGCGGGGCAGGAGGAAATCGCCCAGTCTAGCTCTGGGCGATTGATCTAGGCACCACCTGGGCACTCAGAGACGCGTTTTCACTTTGGTGGGCGACGCCCAGAACAACTAATAAAGAGGAAATTGTAGCCTTTTTGTGAAAATCCCAAACCCTTTTCTATTTCCCCTTTCCACCCGCTCTGTAGCCTCCCCGAGAACCTGCCCAATCCTCCTGGAAGATTGATCAATCTGCACTCGCATTTGCCGGATTTGGTAGGCTAACTGGGTTGCCGGCGCCAATAGTCTCTCGAAGGCCCAGAGGTTTCTATTTTTCCATAGTTGCCAACAGAAAGTAGCAAAGAGGGATGCGTCTATCGATCTATGGTATTAATAGTCATCTTTATCACTATGCTTTTCATTTTATTTGTTGCTTCTAATTATAATGATCAACAGATAAGTCAATAAAATATGTGATCGCGTTGACCTATGAATCAATTTGGAATTGTGCAAGTTGTTGAAAATAAACACTATTTCAAGAGACATTGTTTTATGCAGGTATAACAGCTCCATTCTCTACTAGCAAAAGCAAAGTCGATCATTTGCCTGGAGGGAGGGAAACATCTTTGGGAATCTTCTTGAAATTCCTCGACTTTTATTGTTGATCATCTGACCTTCCAAAAATAGCGATGAGCATAATGTAATTGTCCATTTTTTTGCAAGAGGATAATAGATTACCAACTAATTCACTAATAATTCTTGAGCTTTACCGATGGTATTCTTTTTAATTAATTTTCTTTATTATATTTATTTATTGTTGTAAATTTTCACTTCATAATGTTAGTATACGTGTAACTATAAACATAATTGTCGAAAGTGTACTAATATTTGTGGATACTCGAAACCTAATATGCTATGAAATAGGTGGCAGACACAAGGACTGTCGTAAATTTAGCATATGTTATACTATCGAGCTAAAAGCCGAGCACAAAGCTAAGAACAAATTTATGGGCACACAAATTTTTGACAAAAAAGTTTTTATTTGTTGGTGGTACATATTTGTTATAAATTTTTAGAATCTTTCAAATGGCATAGTAGACAAATCTATAAGTGTTGACTTTTAGATATCAAAGGCAACACCAAAATCAATTATAAATAATCCATATTGATTTTCTAAAATCATGAATCTTTTTCAGAAACTTAATTTTCACAACAAATGATTGTATGTTTGAACTATAGAGTGCCTTATTTAATTAAAATTTTGAAGAAATAATTGGAATATTTCAGATATGTCCATTATAATACAATTGTACTATCCGTATACATTAATGTTAGCTATTAACAACCACAACTGCTTTTGGAGATATATATTATTTAAAAGTGAATTATTAGTTAATAATTTTATATTTTCTCAATTAGTACCTAATGGTTGTCGACCATAAAATTTGAATCCTTTATTTGATAAATTTTTATCCCTCCAAATTACTAATAGGGAAAATCCCTTGGAGTTTATAATTAATACTTCAATGCTTAATTATTTTATTTTCATGGATATAATAGAAAAATAAGTGAATAATATCAAATTTTATGAAGAAATATTTTTTAAGTAATTTATTCTAACAATAGGAAGTGATTTTTTCTTAAATGTAAAAAATATATAGACAATAGTAAGCGATAGCATGATCAATACAAATACTTATAAACTAACTAATGTTATAATCAATAATTCGCACAAATATTAGTTTCAACCCACTAATAAATTATTTAGACGATCCCAAATTATTTGAAAATATGAAAAAATAGATTAATATAAAAATATAATAAATAAAACTAAATTTATCCGACCAACGGGTCGGGTAAAAAGCTAGTTGTACAAAATAGTGGATTACTAGATTATTTACCCTTAATGCTAAAATCAAAAGAATGTGATGTACATTCTATAAATGACTAAATATGCAAAACTCTTAATCAATTATTTTTGTGAACTCATATAGAATTATTGAAAATCAATGATAATTGTAAACAATATAGCTTAACCGAGAACAAGAAGCACTCCAAAAAGAAGGAGATCTTAAATAAGAATAGACCTAAAATAAAAATGAAATAATAAGAACTAAGATATTAAGAAAACAAAAGTGATTATCAACACCACATTGTCTATCTTTTTTTAGTAATATTTATAATATGTAAACCATCTATATGACCCATAACTTGACTCTGTACTTGATAAGCATTTTGAAGTTTTTACCACACCATCATGTTAATTAAATACTAACATCAAACACAACTTCAATACCTTCTATAAAAAAACTTAATTTGTGGTTATATTTTTTCCGGTTATTATTACTCAATTGTTAATTTGTAGCTATATTGATATAGCCATAAAAAAATAATTATTCCATGAGAATTAGTTTACAAAAATTTTACAAAAAAACTCAAAACAATCCAATAGAATACGAGACTACCAGTTCATTTAGAATACATAATAAAAATTATATTAGTAAATGGTCACAGATTGATCATGAAAATTAAATGATATTCCAAAAGCATAAAATGAAGGAACATGTTGTACAAAAAGAATATAAAAGGTTTTTAATTATAGACCTCTTTTATATTTATTTTAGAGTTCATAATCAAATAATTTTTTTTTATGGTTAATCAAAATTTCATTAAGCACTAGGGGTTGCAACTGCAAAACCCCCTCCTCATAAGACCAGCAAGTAACCTGACGTCCAGTACAATCAACTAACTATGCAAAGAAAAAAAAATTCTATCTAGGCTTCATTACATCACTTCAGCGAGTCCTTGCAGCAAGTATCCATTTCACGTCCTCCTCAATTCGACCAGCTAGTTTACTTGGGGAACAAATCTCACTATCATGAGCTCGACAGCAACGTTCACGCCACACATAACTCACACACAGCGACCATCTCAACCTTCATTCACTCTTAACTCCAGTATCGCTCGTCCATTGTCTGACTGCCCAGTGCAGATGATCCTGCCATGTACAGAACACTGGGAACCTGCAAATTCGAGACAAAACAGTACAGAAGACACTCCTGCTGTACGAGCAAGTTGAGAACAAGTGTTCCCTTGTCTCATTACCACCTGGACACAAGCCACATGAAACATCATCAGTTAGCCCCCAACTCTGCAGTTTATCTTTCGTTGTGATACGATTGAGGACCACAAGCCAGAGCAGTAAACTATGCTTCGGACTATATGGTTTACCCGAGACAGCCTTGTGCCAATCTACTACGCCCTGAGGAGTTCGAATAGCCTTCCAGACAAGTTTAACAGAGTATTTTGGCAAGATCTTCACAAGCAAGCACCTCATCACTACCAGTTATGTGATCCCTTACTCCCACCCTGCTCTTCAGAATCTTCCTCCAAATCCAAGTACCTGCTGAGTGCTTTGCTATATCCCAAATGGACCTCGCTTTTAAACGATATTTCTTCACCCAAGCAACCCAAAGAGAACCAGAAGCAGCCAATATATTCCAAATATGACGAATTACACATGCCTGGTTCCATTTCTTGAAATCCCTTATCCCCAAACCCCCTTCATTCTTTGGCAAGGCAACAAACTGCCAGGCTACCAGTGCCTTCTTCCTCAAACTTCTACTTCCCACACCCCACAAGAACCGATTATATATTTTCTCTATCTCTTTCAAAATTCTTTGGGGCAACAAAAACAAAGCCATCCAATATTGCATAATACTTGTGATAACATATGAAACTAATTGTAATCTGCCTGCATAACTAAGCTTTTTTGCTTGCCATGTTCTAATCCTCTTGGTTATCTTATCCACTAACACTGAGCAGTCAGCAGAGGAGAGTTTACCTGAGATGAGTGGGACGCCAAGGTATCGAACAGGGAGACTGCCCAGTGGGAATCCAGTAAAAGAAGAGATCCAGCGCTTTTCATCCTCAGGAATACCACAGCAGAACAGCTGGCATTTAGCAGGGTTGCAACGAAGTCCAGAGTCGATGTAAAACTGATCTAACACTCTGTTTATACCAGCCACTCCCCTGATTGACCCATTTGTAAAAACTAGGAGGTCATCTGCAAAACACAGATGAGTAATCTCCAGTGCTTTACAACGTGGATGGTATGGGACCTGGTTGTCTACTGCTGCCCTGTGTATTAAACACGAAAAATACTCCATGGCCACTGTGAATAAGTATGGGGAGAGGGGATCTCCTTGTCTAAGACCCTTACCAGCAGAGAAATAACCACAAAAACTACCATTAAATGAGACTGTTTTGTAAAAAATATAAATGTTTTTTTGAAAATGTTAAACATCTTTTATATTATTTTATTCCTTCTAAAAGAACTATCTCAAAAATCAAATAATGCAAAGTACATTACATCATTTTCCTGAATTGCATTTATATCACAATGCATGTATTGATTTAAGTATCATCAAAACCAAACTACCCCTAAGTTACCGTTCAAGTAAAACTAGGTCGGGCCGAGGCTGGTTGCTGGTTTCCCGGATCAACTGCAGGGCCCGATCCACCTTTCTTTCTCTTTTCTGATTTCTCTCTTTGCAGACGCGAAAGTCCGGAATCAAGGTTGTTCTCCAAAAAAAAAAAAAAAAAACCCCTCATTTTCGTTCTCAACCTAACCTCGTCTCTTCAATCCAACCCCTCTACTCACAGGTAACAATGGCGGGGCGTATTAGATCAGCTCTTCCTCTCATCAACAGGATTGCCAGATCCGATTCTTTTCTCGCTCCTCACAGGGCCGCCGTTCACCGCACCCTACAGTCCCCGGTCTTCGCTTCTTCATCCGAGGTAATAGAAACGGAGAACCAGTTTTTTTTTTCCTTCCAATTTTGCGAATACGGACAGTGTCTAAATAGAGAGTAGTTCTGTATCCCTCAGCCAATTTGATTTTCTAGAGTTTGAAACCCATAGGAGCTGCGTGTATCATCGTTGTAATGTCATCGGATTGAGCATATTTTTTCATGTAACAGCATTTTTCCACTGGATTTTACCCTTGTGCTCTTGTGGAAGGCTTCATTTTTCGTTTCGAGTTTAATGTTGAAGATATGTTTTCTCGAAGTGGTTCTCTCGCGGGGGCTGATTATACTTAGTGTGCTTTGACGCTTATGATTAACGTGATCTGGTTTCTTGCAGTCATCCAGGTATTATGCCACCGCAGCTGCACCTCCTAAGGAACAGAAAATTAAGGTATTTGAATTCATGGGCATGTCTAATGCCAGTTTTTTTCTTTCCCTTGTCTATATATATGTGTTCGCTATTTCTTTCTAACTTCTGTATGAGGTTTTGGCCATTCACTAACCTATTCAAATGTTTCCCTTCCCTGTCTTGTTATGCTATTTTGAATAACTCCTAAACTCTCTATGAGGTGATTTGGTGTGTTTCAGTCACTCGCTTGAGACTGGATCATGTGTTCTTTGAACTTCTATGTGTTGTGAATCTGTATACATACATGGGCCTGTTAATTGGGAGATGATTTTGACTTCAGCACCTAAAATGTTGAGCAGTAGCCAGTATGGTTGGGTCTGTCGAAGAAGTGTTTGGATGTAGAGCATGTACCAAAAAAATTTAACTTTCTTGTTCCATTGTATAATCTTCCTCTAATGGTTTCTATATTTCATGTAGCTGCCAGTAGCTTTGTATGGGGGAGCTGGAAACTATGCCTCTGCTTTGTACATTGCATCCAAAAAGGCTAATGTGCTGGATAAAGTCGAGGCTGAACTACTTGATCTTGTTCAGGCTTTGGAGAAAAGTCCTACATTTTCTCAGTTTACGAAGGACTTGTCAGTGCCTGCTGATACGAGAGTCAAGGCCATTACTGACATAGCTGAACAAGCCAAATTTTCACAAGTTACCAAGACCTTCCTGAGTAAGAATCTCCAAGTAGGAACTAGTATTCATCCTGGGAAGTAGATATTACTTTTGGTTTCTTGCTACCTGAATACTTTTCTATTCTGTTATACTCAATTTTTGTTTGTGCTTGTTGTTACACTAGAAGGTTTTAGGTCTCAAAGCTCCTTGTTTATGCTAGTGAGGCATACTTTTTCATATACTGCTGCCAGACAAAAGTTATTTGTTTGTCATTATGATTGTCTTCTCTTATCATTTATTCCTATCATCTTATCATCATGGTCCATCTATTGATCACCTGGTGTCGACTTGTAGGGAAATCTGATGAATTATACGCTGGACTTTCTCATTATGGATGCACCTTTCGTTTATAAATGACAAAAATAATAGTCTCTTTATCATTTACCTGGATATCGTATTGGCTCAGGGCATAAGAACTGGCACTATGCTTGTTGCATGTTGTGGGATGTTTTATACTTTTATTCCACTCACCGAATGGTAGTTTGTATATAAGAGTTGCGCTTGACTTAGATTAAACTGGCGTGGAAGCGTAAACATGGGTTGCTTGCATGGGCATTGAAACTTTTCATTTTTAAGTTTCTAGAACAATAGGACGTAACTCCTTAGATTAGGCTTCATGGCTGTCAATTCACTTCTACATAGACCTTCAACTGGGCCATCTGTTGATTTCTTCAATTGATCATGTTCACTGTTGCTTATATATAACTACAAGGTTGATGCACCTGAGCAAAGCCTGGTCATTCCTCATTACATTACTATGCAAAGCTTTAGCTTCTGTTCAGTCTGCTGTTACTACAGCATGACTGAGTTGCAGAGGGAATTCACCTAATGGTGCTTATGTATCAGGCTCCTGATTTCTTTCTTTGACTTTTTGTTTCCCCCCCTTTACAATGGCGACTCTCTTTGGAATCTGAGATGTGCTTAAAGTGAAACTTGAACATTGTACATAATTAGCTTTTGTATTGGATTTTGATGCTGAGAGGTAGCTACTATAATTGATTTTTTGACCAGTTGTTCTTGCTGAGAATGGAAGGCTGCGATCCATTGATACCATAGCTAAGAAGTTTGCAGAGCTGACAATGGCTGATAAGGGAATTGTCAAAGCTACTGTGACAACAGTTATGGTGAGTTTTACTTTGAAATGCATCAAACTTTCTTTGCATGGCTCCCTGATTTCTGTAGCAACTGTTGCTTTCTTTTTAGATTTATTAAATTAACCATGAACCTGTCACAGCTCTAGTAGTAGAATAACATAAATGTTTCAGCCTTTTGAGTTTGATGCATTATATAGATAATTGGGAAATGATAAATTACTCCCCTATTATAGGAAATAACTTGGGAGCTTTAATCTTAGTCAAACACAATGCTTAAGAATGCAGAAATTTGGACTGATGAGTTGGGATAAGAGTGCTGGCTGGGAAGTTATTCGGATTCAGGGGCCTGCCATTAGGGCTTATTATTAGTTCTATAGATCTTCAATGCAAAAACATATATGGTTTTTATCAGTTTGTTGGGAGTGAATCTGTCTTGCTTTTATTGTCTGACAATATTGCATGTTTGTACTTTACCAACCAGCCCCTCCCCCCATCGGAAGAGAAAGAGCTGAAGGAGACACTACAGCAGATTATTGGACAAGGGAAGCAGGTTACACTTGAGCAGAAGGTACACATGCTGCTTATTCGTTCACAGGAACACTAGTTAGTTCCTTCTGATATCCAACTGAACTTACAAAGGACATTCAGCTCACGGAATCTCTCTGTTCTACTCTTTCTTTCCCCCCCCCCCCCCCCCCCCCCCCCCCCAGATTGATGCTAGCATCCTTGGTGGCCTTGTGGTTGAGTTCTCACAGAAGGTGTTTGACATGTCCATTAAGACAAGGGCAAAGCAGATGGAGAGAGCTCTCATGGAACCAGTTCAGTTCTAAACCAGTTAACTTTGGCCCACTCCAGTTCAGTTCTTTGCTTTACATTTCTATCCAATTATAGCATTCCATGGAGGAAACATTGTTAGGTCTCGTTTTGTTTTCTTGACTAGCCCACCTTTGTGATGCGATGGAAAATGCTTCGGTACAAAGAATAATAATGTATGTGGTCACATGGCAACAGCTGACCAAATCTGAACCGGAGTTTGTTTTCTCAGCGAGTTGCCACACTTCAAAAATATTTATATTTTCACGTTTATGAAGAAATTGTTGAAAATGTTTTTTTGTTACAAGTACAACAATAAATCCAATTGTTGCACAACGCAGCCCGGGGGAGAGTTTATAGGCTCACAGAGTATGATCTTTTCCCTTTTGAATACTGATCTTGAGTTTCTATCTGTTTTCATGTATTCTTTTGTTCGATTACTGATGTCTTGTGACGGCTTTTGCTTGGATTAGGGATGTCAATAAGTCGGGTTGGGTTAGGTTTTGTTAAATCCAAACTCAAACCTATCGGTTTATCATCACTCTCTCTCTAGATTTTTCAGAACTTGCAAAACTGGAAATTGTCGGAGTTGGCCTTTTGTATGTGGAAGAATCGCGAGTTACGGCCGTACCTTTTTGTCCTCCGCATGTAACTTCCCAAAACATTGACGTGTCTTTACTGTGTAACCACGAGTTACGGTATTCCTTAGGAAGTTACGGTCAAGGCCGTAACTTTGAATCTTTACCCGTAACTTTAAAAGGCGCTCTGCTTCTCCTCATCGTAAATTTATGCTATGAGCTAGAGAGTTACGGCCGAGACCATAACTTTGAATGCCTTGCTGTAAGTTTAAGCTGACTTCTACCTGATCGCTCTAAAATCTCCTGAAACTTGCTCCCAAGCCTCCATTCACGAACTAAGACCTGAAATATCATGAAAAATAACTACCGAGCGTAAAATGGGCCACAAAGCACTCAAATGCTAAGCCAAACGATCCAGAAATGTCAGGGAAAAAGTGTAAATACGGTGTTATTACTTATTAACAGTAACAAATTTAAATGTAGTAGCTTAGTGTTTGTGGATGTTCATTACGAGTAAGGGACATGCGTTCGATTGTCCTTGACTTCCATTTTAGTATTTACTTCGCAAGGGCGATGCAATGTCAGAACTCCCAATTTTCAGGAATTTGCAGGGGAAATTTTGTCTTTACGAAAGGATTATAGAGGTAAGTGATGATGGAGAAAAACTCATAGCCTCCTATACCTAGGGATGGCAATGGGGCGAGTTTGTCTAAACCGTCCCCATCCCCGTTTACAAATACCCAAATCCATACCCGCCACATACCCATGCGGGGAACATTTTGCAAACCCATCACCATAATCGTGGGTTTCGGGTACTCATGGGTAATACCCGCTTCGTACATCCAACATTATTATACCTAAAAATTTACTAGAAATTTTTTAATTATAACACTAAACGAACCTACTATATCATGAAGTCAACAAAATACGATCATTTTCTTAATATGGTTCAAAGAATATGATACAAAAACATTCGTTAATACATAATACATAGTATAATATTTTCTAAATTATCATGCTCCTATTCTAATACATCTACTAACTAATAATTAACTAACATAATCTTATTGACAGAGGAAAAAGTGAAAGAGTAAAGGAGAATTGAGGAAAATGGGTATGGGTATGGGTTACATCCATTATCATTTATAGGTTACAATTTTATCCACATATTTTTTTGTATGTGAAGAAATTCTCTTGGTGGGCCGTGTATGGGTATGGGTATGGGGCTGGGGAGACTAAAACCATACTCGCCCCATACCCATCTAACTTTTTGCGGATTTTACCCATACCCGCCCTATACCCAGTCAAAGAAAGGATTCCCCGCGTTGATTATGTCGGCGGCGGTCGGATACCCACTACCATGGGTTGGGTTGCCATCCCTACCTATGCCTACTCTCTATTTCTCTTCTCTTGCTACATCTCATTCTTCCTTCCTCTCTAAAAGAACAAGGAAAGAAAAGGAAAGACCGATCATTCACCTTCCTTCCTTGGATCTCCAGATGTCATTAAATCTCGAGTACTTTAATGCAAGTCTGCAGATTGGTCTGACAATCCACAATCGTCGTCAAATTCCCAATGAACTTGATCGCTTCACCCAAATCGAAAGATTGAAGTGGCGCTGCTGGCAACTTCCGCTATTATTGTCGTCATTTGGGGGTCGGCGCCTGAGATGCAAAGAGGAATCTCTGACGGTGAGATGACAGAAGACCAATGCAAGGAGACTGGATATCAGCAGGCAAGAAGATTGACGGTTGGAATGGAGACGCTTATTTTTCTAAAAGACTCCCTCTCTCTCTCCTATGAAACGAGTTAGAAATGGGATAAGGGATTTTGACCAAGACAAAAACAGCAAAGGGGGAAAGACGAAATGATAGGAAGAACACTTCCTCTGATGCTCGACAAAGGTAAAGAGCAAAAATGATTGGGCCAAAGAATGCCAAAGCCCAAAGATACTTAAACTAAAGGAAATAAACAAACTGCGGTGGGCTTTCTTGATTTAAGCCCAGACAAACTTAAAACCCACGAGAGAGAGCTACAACTTCTCTTCTTCCTTTAGCAGGATGAGATGCAGAGCTGAAACCCAGGAAAGCAGGGGAACTCAACCGAACAGAAAACAGAGAACTAAAACAGAATTGAAACGAGAAGAACACACGATTTAACGAGGTTCCCAAACTACGAGTCACTCCTCATCTCGGAAATAGCACCTGCTATTTTCCGAGAGACTCTTTTTTTATTATGATTTTACCTATCAAGCAAAAGATAAAACGAAACAGAGTATGAAAATGAAAAACCAAACAACCACCACCACAGATCGCAATCCGATCTATAAAACCCTCAACAGTTAAGAACCTCTTCCCCTGAATTGTTGATAACCTTTGTAACCCAAAAGATCAGCCCTCTACCGCTCTCTTTTTCTCTGTTACAAAACCTTGCAAAGCTTCTCTAAATACACAAAATATAAAGAAGACCAATTCAACCGTTGGAGAGGACCAAGCTAGCTGTTGCTGATTTTCCGCCAGGATTGCTTCTTATGAGGAAACCTTCCTTTGCCATCTAATTCTTGAAAACTTACCAAAAGAGATCAATCGGCAAGACTCTTATTTCGTTCATCAATCTTCCCCTAAATGAGAGATTGACGATTGATCCTTTTCATGCACAAGACTGCACACGCAAACTCCAAACAAGGCAAGTGATTCCCACCAGAAGCAAATCTCAACAAAGACCAAACAAAGTTCCAGCAAAGACTACTGCAAGAACCAAACTCAGAAACATCCAACAAGGTTAGGGCACACTCAGTTCAAGACAGCAAGTTCCAACCCAAACAACTTAGGGCAAACAAAACAAACAAAAACAACAAGTCTGAGACACACTCGCAAGACAAATAAGATACGTCAAAAATGATCTTCATCATCAGAACCAAACTCTTCTTCATCAGTCTCATAAAGTACCACAAGATCTGCAGGAAACGAATCTTCAGAAGCCGAGTCAACATCTTCCTCTGGTTCCAAATTCTCCTCTGGTTCCACATCTTCAGGTTCTACCTCCGCCTCATCGACTTCAAAGACAGCAGCAGCAACAGCAGCAGGAAAGACCTCTCCCCCAATCGCAATCTCCAGGTCATCCAGCATTTGGTCGATAGACACATATTGAGTAGGAGAGATGGTTCGAAAAGAGGAAAGATCAATTTCAAGGCGAGAGAACAAACGGATGATGAGGGGTCCAATTGGTAGTGGGCCAGGGAAGTGGACATAACCAAAAGACATCATGGAGCCAAAGACCAAGTGAGCATAGTTGAGAGGGATATGGGCAACAACATGGCTCATAACCCAGAGGTCTAAGGGAGTAACTCGGTCAAGGGATTGAAAACGAGGAAGGAAGACCCTGGTGAGGACAACATGAAAAGCTCGAAGACGGGGGCAGCAGAATATTGACAGGGAGAGACAGGGCAGGACCAGGATGAACACCCGAGAGACGAACAAACTCCTCGACAACATTAAAATTGACTCTCCATGACTCAGACTCGTGAGCAATGGTCTCACCAACAGCAGGAATATCTAACAAACAACCCAGGTCGACAACAGGAATGGTAATGAGATGACCTTGGAACAAAGTAGAAAAAGCTCGGGAATGAAGACCATCATATCGAAGGTTTGAGTAAAAATGACGAACAAGGATGGGGCAAAACATGGATGAAAACTGATCAAGTAAAAATCCCCATCCCAGATTTCGAATGAAATCATTGACATCAATAGCAAAATCAGCAAAGCGGGAAAGACGAAATGATAAGAAGAACACTTCCTCTGATGCTCGACAAAGGTAAAGAGCAAAAATGATTGGGCCAAAGAATGCCAAAGCCCGAAGATACTTAAACTAAAGGAAATAAACAAACTGCAGTGGGCTTTCTTGATTTAAGCCCAGAAGAACTTAAAACCCACGAGAGAGAGCTACAACTTCTCTTCTTCTTCCTTTAGCAGGATGAGATGCAGAGCTGAAACCCAGGAAAGCAGGGGAACTCAACCGAACAGAAAACAGAGAACTAAAACAGAATTGAAACGAGAAGAACACACGATTTAACGAGGTTCCCAAACTACTGGCCAATCCTCGTCTCGGAAATAGCACCTGCTATTTTTCGAGAGACTCTTTTTTTATTATGATTTTACCTATCAAGCAAAAGATAAAACAAAACAGAGTATGAAAATGAAAAACCAAACAACTACCACCACAGATCACAATCCGATCTGTAAAACCCTCAACAGCTAAGAACCTCTTCCTCTAAACTGTTGATAACCTTTGTAACCCAAAAGATCAGCCCTCTACCGCTCTCTTTTTCTCTGTTACAAAACCTTGCAAAGCTTCTCTAAATACACAGAATATATAGAAGACCAATTCAACCGTTGGAGAGGACCAAGCTAGTCGTTGCTGATTTTCCGCCAGGATTGCTTCTTATGAGGAAACCTTCCTTTGCCATCTGATTCTTGAAAACTTACCAAAAGAGATCAATCGGCAAGACTCTTATTTCGTTCATCATCTCCCTCCCTCCACTCCACTCCACTCATCCCTCACTATTACTATTCCCCACTCCTGTCTTTTACGTATCACTATCAGGCAAGGTTGTCAAATCGTTTATACTGTCGCACTAGTTTAGCAAGTTAAACCGGTATGTGCGGGTTCATGCAAATTTATATCGATCGGTACAACTGGTATGTGCTAGTTCATGCCGATTTAACAAAATATGTAGAAATGTGAAAAACTATTAACATAAAATGAATTTAATCATATACAATACATATTTGATGATACTTTACTTGCAATTCATATTCATAATAAAAAAAATACATTTCAAATAAAATAAAAAATATTCATATTTAAATGCAACATTTAATGTTGTTATCTGAACATTTATAATTGAATCCAACAAAATTACATCAACATATATAATAGGAACATTGTTATCCCAACAAACGTAAGAAACCAACACATTGGCGAGCTTAGGGGAAGGCTGTTAGAAACCGATTTCTGTAGGATTTCTTTATTTATTAATATAATTATTATTAGGGTAATTATCAATAAGGTTAGTAGTTATTTAGTAGGATTAGGTTTATTATTAGGGTTTCCTAGTGTTCCCTATAAATATGTACTTTGAATCGACGTTAGGAAGTCAAAAAAAGAATTATCAAAGAATCTCCTAAACCCTAATCTCCCTATCTTCCCAATTCTCGATCTCAATCCCTCTAAAGGCCTCGGCCGATTCCCTTCTGTTCTTCCCCAATTCTTCTCCCAAATCCCTAATTCTATCTTCTCAATCCCTAAATTCTCAAATCTCACCCAATACAAATCCCGTTAGAAACTTTGTTTCTAACATCAGGTATCAGAGCCATGGTCGAAAAACTAAGTTTGTCACAACTCTCAACCGGGGACGAACGGATATATGAAGACTTCAAACCTGACAGCATGAGGATGGAGCTACGACGTAGCGTTGTCTTGTTCTTCACCTTGCCTGGATTCGAAGAGGATCACGTAGATGTGCAGATGGTTGGATCTGATGTGCTAGCAATAACGGGACAACGACCGTTGGCTGATGGTCACCGGTGGTTACGATTCAAAAAGCAAATCAAATTCAGAGCAATCCACGACATCAAACGGTATCGTACTAAGTTTGGGACAACTGATTTCATCCTTCAAGTTCCAAAAATCACAACACCTCCCGTCCACAACCGTGACGAAGAGGCGGCAACCGAGTCACCAACCCCAAACGTCGCTGCAACGACCCAACCCCCTGCCTCACAGACACCGGACAGAGTCTTCACCACCATCGAACAACTCGACCCACCCACCGCACCTGCAACACCGACCACTGTCCTTGACGCCTCAAGGGGAGTCGAGCAGCTATCCGGGAAGAACAACAACCATGGGATGGGAATGACCGCTGCATCTTCGTTATTCGGGTCGAAATCACCGGAGACTAGAGCTGTTACTACGCCACCGTGGCCACCACCATCAACCGACGACCTCCTGCTGGCTTCAATAGAGCCCATATCGTTGGCCATCGCTAGAGCAGTGCCGCAATCCACGACGGCTTCCTTGGCGGCGAGGCTGCGGGGATCGCTGTCGGAAGCGAGAGAGGAAGCGACGGAGTGGGCGTCGTTCTTGACCGCCGAGGTACCTGTGGAGAAGAAAAAGAGTACCGCCATGGGGATGAACTCGGGAGCGGAGCCCGGAGACAGAATCGGCAGCGAACGCGAGGCGAAGGTGCTGGAGCTTCGAATCGCGCGCGGAACGCGGCGATTGGCGACAGTGTCCGTTGCGATGTCGAACGGCAGAATGATTCGTCGCTCAGCGCCGGATGAGGAGTTGTCGGGGACGAAGACAGCGGATTGGAGCTCGCCTCATCGCCGTCGGATTAAGATGACCTCGACGGAGAACGAAACACCGCCGGAGATGGAAACGACGCTGGTGGATGGTGTGACAAGGAAGAAGAAGGCGGAGGAGGGTAGTGGCGGCATCGGTTCTCCTCCAACGAACCCTGGGGCGGTTGCCTTGAACCGAGCGGAGCAGCAAGGGCGCGAGCGGGCTGGGCTCGTGTCAGACCAAGGGGATCGAGTGAGTGGACCAGGAGGAGGAAAGGAATGGGCTGAATTAGGGCCTGAGCACGGGCTGAAGTTTGGAGGGGAGTGGACCGATCCAGAACCAAGTTGTGGACCATTATTTGGTTCGAACGAGGCTTTGGTACAAAAGCCAAGCTATGGGCCGAAGTTGGAAAAAGATTGGGCTTCTGATGAGCAAATTTTGAGGGCTCAAAAGAGCTATGCTTTGGAGAGGGTGGAACGGAGGATGATAGTGGAGTCATGCGGGCCGCCACGTCGACGGAGGGTTTGTTCGCCGGTAAAAGACAGGGAAGAGAGTGGCGCTGCTTCTCTTCTCGCGAGGCTTGGGGTACCAACCCTAGATCGAGCCAACAAGCAGCCTGCTCTGGTGGGCTGTGCGACTAATCGGATCGTCGGGCATTATGGGTTGACATGGAAAGGAGTGTGTGGGTTGCAGGGTAAGACAAGGTCTGAGTGCGGGCTGGAGCTTGGATTTCAGTGGGCCGAGGAAGATTGGAGAATGGAGCCGAGATGGACTTTGCCTTGCCAACCCAATGGGCCGTCCAATTACAAGCTCCCAAGGATTATATTATATGTGGTTGGGTCGGATCAAGAGGGGTTCGAGCCTAGCTTGGTCTGTGTTTTGGAGAACATGGGCTTGAAAGAAGGGTTTGACAGTTTATTGGGTGGACTTTCAAGAGAGCAAGGCTCAAAATTAATGGGAGAAGCAACAAATCAGAGTTACTGGCTTGTTCCAAGGAAAATGTATGAAGGCCTTGGTGAAATGGTACTCAAGGATGGGTTCTTGAACAAGAATGAATCGTTGGGTTCCTTGAGTTGTGAAATTATGAGGCCAACAAAAGCGGAGCTGTCAAAGTTTGAATATGTCAAGGAAGCGAATAGTGGGCCCATGAAAGTTAAGGTCAAAGAAAAAGACCAGCCCAGGAAGATCGGTGCAAGAAGCCCAAAACCAGAGTTGAAGCCTGATTGGAAGAAAAGGAAGCGCACAACGCGGAGCAAGCGATGCATTAATCACACGAGGAGGTTGAAGGAGCGGGTCAAGTTGGTCAACCTTGAGGGCAAGGTTGGTCTGAAGGGGGAGGAGATGTTAGAAACCGATTTCTGTAGGGTTTTTTATTTATTAATATAATTATTATTAGGGTAATTATCAATAAGGTTAGTAGTTATTTAGTAGGATTAGGTTTATTATTAGGGTTTCCTAGTGTTCCCTGTAAATATGTACTTTGAGTCTACGTTAGGAAGTCAAAAAAAGAATTATCAAAGAATCTCCTAAACCCTAATCTCCCTATCTTCCCAATTCTCGATCTCAATCCCTCTAAAGGCCTCGGCCGATTCCCTTCTGTTCTTCCCCAATTCTTCTCCCAAATCCCTAATTCTATCTTCTCAATCCCTAAATTCTCAAATCTCACCCAATACAAATCCCGTTAGAAACTTTGTTTCTAACTTTGTTTCTAACAAAGGCAAGGAGATACCACAGGAGCACAAATTGGAAGATATTTGCAGAGCCCATAGCAGATGATCGCCGACCCGAAGTAGCGTGAGGCGGGGCATGGGTATCTACTTCCGACCTGCCCTGCCCTGACCCGCCCCGTTCATTACTCATTTTATCTCAATTTTTTACGGTATCAATACATATTTATGCTATTTTGACATTTCTTCAACTAGTTAGAGTCAATCTTTCAACTTGTTTCACTCACCTCAGAGTAGCATGGGACGGACATGGATATTGAGTTACCGTCAGGCCGCCACTTCCTCTACCACCTCCCAAATTTGCTCGCGACGCTACATCACTATTCACTAGCAATGGAGAACAGAAACGCGTTTACAAATTCTCGAATCCGTCTGTCTGTCGGTCGGTCTCATTTATTAGAGCTTGAAAGCTGCTGCTGCTTGTAGTTGCTAGTTGTTACTCACTGTTACTATTTATCCAAATTGAGAGAGGTGGCAAAAAAGCCGAAGCAAGGAGACAGACAGCAAAAGACCCACAATTCCCCCCCTGCTCTCAAGTCTAAACCTTCACTCAGATCTGAGATCCAAATCGATATTCTCACTCACTGGTCAGCCATTGATTTCTATTTCTCCAACCCCTTTGCCCATTCTCTTCTCCTTCAACGTCCACAGCCTGATCTCTCTCTTCACTCTTTGTTTTGTGTTCCGTAGCTTTCCTGCAAGGGTTGTTGATCAACAGCTGCTCGCTCACTTGTTTGCTTTCTCTTTGGTTCATCGTCTATCATCAATCATGTCGAGGAGGCAAGTCGGCTCCGGCAGGCGATTCGTCGACTCCGGCAACTTCCCCTTCGCTTCCGCTCTCCATCATAAGTCCCGCCCTTCTCCTCTACTCTCCATCGGCCTTGTCGTCTTGGTGCCTACTTCCGCCCTCCATTTTTATTATCAGCTTATTCATCTCCCCTTTTTGCTTAACCTTCCCTGATTAACCCCCCTTTTTTTTCGGTTCCTACCTTCGCTTCACCAGGGAGCTTTGCTTCTCATCGCCTATGCTTATGGCGGCCCAGGTATATCTTCCTCTTGCCTCCCTATTGCTTCATTGAATCCCAATTGTGCATGGCTTGATTCTGATTGATGGCGATTTGCAATTTACAGGTTTGTTCAGGGGTAACAAGGATATCAGTAGGATTGAAGGTGGGCATTTCTGCTCTAAGTCTTTGCTTTGCTTGTTTGTTATTCACATCCGCAGATCCTTCAATTGTTAGGCATGGTGGGGGATAAATGGACTAGGATCTGGATTGTTTAGACTTGCGTAGATCCCAGTTTGACTCTCTTTGACATCAGAACTTGTTAGTCTTTTTGGTTTTGAAAAATTTCATGCTTTTGCAGAGCAATGCACATTAAAATTGTTTTCTTTTCCTGCATGGAGTAATCTCAGTTGTTCTAGCTTCTGGGTACCAAGTTCGATTTCTACCATAGACATTACTTCGGGTTCATTGGTGAATGTGGCTTTTCCCAACAAATGGGGCTGACAGGCATCCTATAGAGTTTTGTGGATTTGGAAGTGGGAATGCCTGGAGAATTCTGGTGTATTTGGAATTTGATGTGCGTAGAAGCAGCTACTGACTTCAAGCATTATGTTTTTCAGGCGACTATACATGCACAGCAGAAGTCCTGAGATCTATACCATTTCTGAAGAAAGCATACGGAGACAACATGCGTAAAATTTTGCATGTAGGTCCTGATACTTGTGCTGTTGTCTCCACATTGCTGAAAGAAGAAGAAACTGAAGCTTGGGGGTTGGAGCCATACGACATCGAGGATGCAGATGCAACCTGCAAAAATCTTGTTCGGAGGGGGCTTGCTCGTGTTGCTGATATCAAATTCCCTCTACCCTACAGGGCAAAGTCATTCTCACTCGTTATTGTGTCGGATGCTCTTGATTACCTTTCACCAAAGTACCTGAACAGGACTCTTCCTGAACTGGCTAGGGTTGCTTCTGATGGTCTCGTCATCTTTACAGGTATTTCACGCATACTTCATAAGAATTAACTTGATATGAAGCTTTGTGATTGAAGGTCTTCTTTCTCAAGTAGGTCTATTTGTAATGAGGCCTTCTTCAAACTGTATTTGATGTCTATAGTTGTTAAATCATTGGTGTTTTAGTTTTTGTCTTTATGGTACAACTTGAAGTTGTACCTTTAACGTTATGGTACAATTTCGGGTTGTACCTATACTCTTTTGTAAAACCAACAAAATCGCTTTATGGTACAAATTAAAGTTGTATTCTACCATAACATAAATGTCAAATTCCCTTATGGTACAACTTCAATTTCTACTTTTTAATGTTATGGTACAACTTCAAATTGTACTTTAAAGCACCAATACTATAAAGCATAGTAGAAGTGTTATAAAGCATAGTAGAAGTGTTTGAGGCAACTATCATTCTCTTACCTTGGTGCTTTTTCTTTTCAGGTTATCCTGGTCAACAGAAAGCTAAAGTTGCAGAACTGTCCAAATTTGGACGGCCGGTGAGTGGATTACATGATGCCTTTGCCTCCATATCTATAGATTCATTTGCAGTATTCGTTGTGCTGTTAGCTATAAAGTCTTAGTATTCACAAGTCAAGTTAGCTATCTAGCTATGTCAAGTCTGGATGACCACTAAACTGATTCTGATTTTTTTTCATTTCAGCCCAAAATGAGGAGCTCCTCTTGGTGGATTCGCTATTTTGTTCAGACAAGTTTGGAAGAAAATGAAGTTGCTCAAAAGAAGTTTGATCAGGCAGCACTGAAGAGGTCGTACAAGTCAAACTGTCAAGTATTCCACCTCAACCCATACCATTAAGTTTAAGAGACGGAGAACAACTTACAGGCCACAGTTCATGCAGTTTTTGGTTCCTTCACAATTGAGCTAAAAATATATATTTTACTCCCACACAAGTCAAGCCATCATTCTCTTACCCAGTTAGCTAAATCTCATGGAACAAAAATGTTCTTACCTAATACATTATGTTGTATCATTTTAACATTCAGACAATCATTGCCTTATTAATCCATGTCAAGTTTGTTGATTATAGCAGTCACCTCCTCTGTTTTGGATTCAGCTTCCCCAGTGAGGTGGATATGCCTTGTTTGATGTACTGATGGGTAGTTCCAAAATTAGACTAGCAGCAGGTCAATTTGGTTTGTTTCTTTTAGTAATATAAAAAAAAATGTTTGGTTCTAGGTTTTATATCCCGAGTGCTTGATGAGTTGATGTATGTGGAAAAGTTATTTACAAAATTGTCGTTGTGTTTATCCAACTGTTTGAGATGATTTGATTTGTGATACAAGGATGTAAAGTTGATGCCTAGGCTTAACAACATGCTAACCAAAAGTTACTTAAAAAATAGTCGTGTTTCTAATGGGTGTAAACGTTGCATAGGCTTATTAACATGCTAACCAAGTTCTTAAATTCAAGATGTTTTCTTTATGAGGCAATGTCGAAAATGGAAAAAAAAACCGTGTTGAATGGGTGATGTTAATGGCTAACAGGCAATGTAATCTATATTTTTATTCATGTGAGATTTAGAAATGTCTATTTCGTAATTGATTCGGGGTCTGTGCCTTAGATTGGCATGGTAAGAAGTAAATATTCTAAGTGCCGCTAGCTAAGTAGTCAATGACAATTTTACTCTGACACTATACCATAGGTATGATTCTTACTTCTCTCTGTTGTCTTTGAAGTATGCGTATCTAGCTAGGTTGTAAGGTCTTAGAGCAACAATTTGCATTAGGAAGTTAGGGCTCAAGGGTGCATAACCCATCAATAACCAAATCTGCACCCTTCATTTAGAAAATCCAGATTCAAGGATGGAGAATTAAAGACCATTTTTATTTTCCCTAACTTTCTTAATCGGCTCATATCTTTTTCGTTTTAATTCGGATTTTTTTTTTTTTTTTTTGCATAGGTGGAACGAGTTCATCGTGCTCTACAAAATGAGATCAATTTTCAATATTTTTTTAGAACAAAAATTCTAGCCTCTCGGTACCAACTGCATACCATATGGTATTTTCTTCGTTTTTAATTCGTTTTTGAAAACGTTTGCACAGAAGGGACGAGTTCATCATGATCTATTGGATCTACAAATTTATGGGTGAACAAATTACAGGACCAACAAATACCACACAATACCATACAATACCACCCTGGTACGGGGTGGTATCTTATGGTACACAATGTTAAAAGTCGTAAATGACAGTTAATGTATTTCTACTATTATGTATTCAACCATCCTACAGTCTTGGTTTGTTCATACTACCATGGTACGCTTTTCAAACCATAGGTATGCTCTTATTTCAATACCAGTCAAAATACCATATGATATAGACTGGTAAAAAATGATTCACTTTTTTTTGTTCGAAAAATATATCAAAGTGGATATCATTTTGAAGAGCACAACTAATCTGTTCTAACTGTGTAAAAAAAATTAAATTTTGACTTAAAACGAGTGAGTAATCGTTCGTCAAAGATTAAGGAGGAGAAAATTAAAGATTTTCCAAGAGAGAGAGAAATGCTGATGTCATGCTCATGTGGACAGGTTACTCACGGTTACTCACCATAAGGTTACTGACGTGATCAGTTCCCGGAAGTTAGCTATGATCTCACCATGCAAATATGCAATGAACAACTTATGAATTAGGGTTCTCAAAATTTTGTACTTTTGTGAACTCCCTATCAGTAACCCTAGTTTCTGAGACAAGAAACACTTTAGTTGCTCAAGAGGATTGTTGATCTCCCTTAATTGAGAACATCGCTTCCACCTCAACAGTTCATGTTATAGCACGAAATCTCTCAATAGTTTGAGCATAAGTTTCTGTCTAAGTTGTACTAGTAGTTGTTCTATACTTAAGTAGAGAGAAAAAGCTTAGTTATTGTAGGAGAAACTATTTTTTTTAACCTCATGTGCTAGCTCTTAGCCTTAACCCTTAAGGATGATGACTATCATAAGGAGTTTTATATACTTAGGCCAACCACAAACCGAGGGGCTTTTGGGCTAAAGATTCTAAAACAAATTGTTAACCTATAAGAATTAAAAAATTGATAAGATTCTAAAACAAATATGCATTATTGAAATACGGGTGATAAAAATACGTGTGATTAGTCGACCTTGAGTTAAATAGTTGGAAAACTCACAAAGATTCTTAATATAGGAATTCGAAAATAGAAAATGTGTCGCCACAATACACACGAATCATGATTAGAATATGCATGATCAGTAAACTTCTACTTAATTAGTTGAAAAACTCACAAAAATTGTCATTTGGTAAAAGGTGAAGGAAAAAAATGCATCGTCATAATATACGTAATCGGAATATGCATGGTCGATGGGCATAAGTGAATTCCTTGATCTCTTAAAATTAGTCAACAATTTAAGAGGTGGTAGAAAAATTGTCAACAATTGAAAAAGTGGAGTTGATAACATTTTACTAATTAACTGAAAAGGACATATAGCGAAGGTACATGGAAACAAAAACAAACTGACGCCGGACCTCGCCAGCTAATATTGAGACTAGCTAAACTCTCTTAAAACGACTTAAGGCACCTCTTGCACACATGCAACCAGTTCAGAAATAGGCGAAGAAAGTAACGGCAAATAGATGCACTGGCAAATCCCCAAGCCGGAGCCTTCACTTAATACCATGTAGAGTTTCGATTAGAGTATTCAAATGGTTACCCTGCTAATTACCAAATCAAATAAGGCAAAATTTTCTTAACCATAAAATACAATATTATAGCCAAACCATCCAAACTAATACAACAACCAATTTAGCCAAACTAAAGTTTAATCGATTTGGTTAATTGGTTAACCAAAATAACCAAAATAATACCACATTATCATTAAGTGATAAAATTTCCGGTTAGTGCATCAATGAATAACACATAACAATTAACACACAATTATAGTTAACCCTTAACATAAATACATGTAATAAATACAATGATTATGCAAAGTATTAAGTATGTGTATATAATATAAATTAGATATATGACTAATTATCTAGCTGATTAATTTGGTTTGATTGGTTATGAGTGTCTGAGACCAAACCAAACCACCTGAACCAAATAAACTAAATTTTTTAACCAAACCAAATCGATTATCCAAATTAACCAAACCAAATTATTAAAATACTACCGGTTAAAATGATTACTACTCCGTTTGAACACTCCTAGTTCCCATTCCCTCCATGAAAGTCACGAATTCCTTCAAGAGGATTGCCAAGGTTGCAGCACGAAAATCTGGACAAAGCTCCAAGCAATTCCCTGCACCTGCACAATTCTGCAGAAGATCCTTTACTTTTCTCCGCTCTTGCGCCTCCAAACAAGAGGGACACTCCTTTATCTTGCCATCGACACATCTCTTTCATACTTCCAGTTCATACATAAGAACTATCCACTTGGTACACCGTAAACTCGTTGCAATCATTACAAGCAATGGGAAATAGTTTCAAGAACTCTCAACATGTTTCTGTGTGTACCTTCACTAGAAGCTACCTCTTACGGGGAAGATCTTATGCTGGTTGCGCATATACTCCTCAGAAGTTACCCTTTCTCACCAGTAGTCTCCACAAGAACAATTACCTCGTTCGAAACAATGAAATCTATTCGCATCCCTCACAGTAATTTTCCTACAGCTAATCTGAGAAATGTATTTCATTGCATTATGGCAATCCCCGCATATCCTCAAGTTCTTCATCACAACTATAGGTGCCCCATCTGTAGTCGACAACAGTCCAAACGCAACAGCTAGTTTCTCACTGTGATGCCTTAACCTAGTCTCTTTTTCCCCTTCACCTGTTTCATCACCCTTAACCAAAGCGAATCTCAAATCCGGTACATATCCAGCGTGCTTGATCTTTAACACCATCCAGTCCAAGTAGTCATGGATCTCCTTCATCATGGGATGCGAATTATCTTCTGCTACGAAAACATGTACCCTGTTGTGTAACTCGAGCCAACTACAACCAGGCAATTTTTTTATTCCTCTATCTCGCATAAGCTTTCGAACTCTGGCTACATCTTCCCATTTGCCAAAATCTGTATACATATTTGCAAGCACAACATAGGGTGTAGCATTTGTTGGCTCAAGCTGCAACAACTCATTAGCTGCTATCTCAGCTAGTTCCATCTTACCATGTTTCCTACAGGCTCCAAGCAAAGTTGCCCATGCTGCCATGCCAGGGGTAAATGGCATCGTTTCAATGAGTCTCTTGGCTTCCCCCAACTTCCCAGCGCGACTCAGAAGATCAATCATACATGAGAAATGTTCGGCTTCTGGTTCTATCCCAAATTCATTTATCATCCTGTTAAAATATCGTCTACCTTCCTCAACCTGACCGGTGTGTGCACAGGCCGAGAGGAGAGCAATGAAGGTTATACTCGTGGGGACCATTTTCACTCGAATCATTTGGTTGAAAAGCAAAAGTGCCTCTGATCCCTTACCATGTTGCGCATAGCCTGAAATGATGGAGTTTAAAGATACGATGTTGTGCTGGGGCATCCTGTCGAATACCTGTCTTGCATAATCGAGACTTCCACACCTTGAGTACATGGCAATTAGGGCGTTATTCACTTGAATTCTGTTTGAAGGGATATCTGTCTTTATTGCCAGGGCATGGAGCTGTTTGCCCGTAGAAGGAGATGAAAGAGTGGAGCACGAACTAAGAGCACAGGAAAAGGTACAATCGTCTGGCTTATGACCGGAAAGCTGCATTTGTTTCAGACAATGGAGAGCCTCCTCCGAGAGTTCATCATCACGAGAGTAGCAGGAAATCATTGTGTTCCAGACAACTGAATCTGGTGCAGGAATTTCTTGGAGTACTTTGTTACTGTCCAACATTGTGCCTCCACATTTTGAGTACATATCAATCAACCCGCTCCCAACATGACTGTTACAATGCAGCCCAGTTTTGATCGATTTGCCATGGAGCTGAAGTCCCCAAGACAAATCATTTCGACTCGTGAATGCAGTCAGCATGCTTGCCACGGTGAACATATCGACTTCAATCCCTCTATGAACCATGTCCCTAAACAATTCCATCGCCTTAGCACCATCCTTGTGCTGCCCATACGCCACAATCATAGAGTTCCAAGAAACTTCATCTCTAACATGTCCTCCCATCGCAACAAACACCTCTTTAGCTTCTTCCAGCAGACCATTCTTCCCATAGAACGTCAGAAGGGAATTGTTAACCGAAACATAAGAATCATACCCGCAGAAAACAGCAAGAGAATGCAACTGTCGCAGCAGCGCGACCTCATTGCAGCAAGCGGTGATCACTCCGGAGACGGTGAATCCATCCGCATCGATAAGTCTCTCTCTCATTTCCTCGAACAATCCCAACGCAGCAGCGGCACTCCCGCAATCCGCATAGGCGGAGATTAGGGTGTTGTAAGAAACAAGGTCCGGGTGAGGAATTTCGTCGAACAGCTGGCGTGCATGTTCTGGGAGTGACCTTTTCGCATAGGCGTCGAGCAGAGCGTTGTAAGAGAAGACATTAGGCTCGAGGGTCTGATCGAAAGCGCGGCGGGCGGCGGTCAGGCGGCCGCATTTGGAGTAAAGGAGGATGAAATGATTGGAGAGGTAAGTGGTCGGAGCGAGTAAATGCTTGAGGTACAGTGCATGGAGGCATTTCCCTGTTGAGAGATCCCGGTTGAGGATGCAATTTTTGAGAAGGTTGCGGAACGAGTTCTGAAAGTGGACCATCTAAAGCCCCCCCGACTCGCACGAGAACTTCACTGCTCATTTCAACAACGTTGTCGTCAAACCTTAAAAGGCTTTTGGACTGAGATTAGCCTGGGCTGGACTTCAGAGGCCCCTAGAGTTATTTCAAAAGTGCGTTGTCAAATCTTAAAGCCTTTGGGCCCGACTGAGAAAGGAAGTTCAATGTGCCAAGGCCCACACGGCAACGGTCCGGATTAGTTGGTTTGTTTTCCTTTACTTGAGCCAAGAGTGCAGCGCCTCCCACTCTAGCACGAGGGAAAAGACTAGAGAGAGAAAGTAGAGAGAAGATGTAGTAAATGTAGATAACTTGCCATTTATGAGGAGAACACTCATATTTATACAAGTCCGGATGTTATGTGGGAGGTCCATGCACCTCAGACTCTCTGTAACTGTACATTGTAGTTCTGGTTAGAATCAGAAGATGTCTGGTGGTGTAGAGGGTGTCCCCCCTGGCCTCTTCCTTGCTGACGTCAGGTGTGCGAACTTGTCTCTTAACCTTGTCTACTTCCTCTGATGATGTAAGTCTTTAGGGTTTTGCCTCTATGTCTTGCCTTCTCTTGGACTCTTTTTGTGGACCTTCTTCATGTATTAGGCTTTACCTTCATACCCTATCAAGAGAGTATTTCGCTAACCTTGCTTTCTCGTCTTATCAATCAAGTGTCAGCTCTCTTTCTTTACTTAATCGGCACCAGGCTCTTCCTTTCAAGTGGGTGCTTCATTCCCTTATCCATCTTATGATCTGTTGAGCGCTTGTGCACCTTCGTGGGTGTGCTTGATTCCAAACAAGATGCAGTAAAATGAGAAAGAATAAGCACATGTCTCAAGTAACGAAGACTTGCTAAAGAAGCAATCATGCCCCTTTTATCAAGCGTCTGACGCTTGCATTTTTCCTTTCCTCGTCAATTATTTTCTGAGTGCCTGCTCTTGCATCTTAGAGGATGCGCCTAGGCTCGTGTTAGGAGCTCCTAGGCCCTACCGATACGATCTTCTTCCAATCTAGTTGAGCGATTTAGCTCGTGGAGGATTCAATCTATCTTGACAATCAAATGAAATTGAAATAAATTTCTCAGTTTTCCTTTGAACACTCTGTGTCTTGCCCATTTGTGACGAAACCATTTTTGTCATGACATATTTAATACGACAAATTCTGTTTGTCAGCAGCCTGTTTTTTAACCCAATATTATGTGACTTCGTGACAATTTATTTTGTCATTATATATGGATATTATGACAAATCAAAATCAGTCAATATCTGGATAATCTGACATCGTGATTTTGTCAACATATCTGGAACTTCACGAATATTGCAGCCAACACAAAATTTTCAACAACCTTGTTCATAATCCTTAATTAAATATCAATGGTGAAAACTAACATAACATTCTGCCTCCATCAGTTCCACTATCACAGACAACCCTACAGCAAGTCCATCTGAAAATGAAAGTTCTACCGACTACCAAACTTTCTAACAAAGCATCCATACATGCCTCCATTGTCCATGCCCATCCAAAATAAGGTGATGAAATTTCAATCAAGAACTTCTCACTTTCTGTAAACTAACTGTACCGATGAGAACAACAACATTAATTCTTATTCCACCACACTTAATGAAAACTAATTATGTCTATATATGCCACCACACTTAACGAAGATGGGGCACTAACTATGTAGTGGAGTAAAACAAAACATTCTTCAAATTATCTGTAAAGATTTGTAAAAGCATGACAAGAACAAATGTGTTTCTTCAGAAGTTATTACCTTCAAACTAAGTTGATCTTTCATTAAGCTTTTGAGCTAGGGACTCCACATAGTCCTTCAGATTGTCCTGTGACTCTTGTATCTTGTGGATAATCTCCTTCCGAGTTTGAATCTCCTGTTGCTGCTCTTCTATTTGCTGTTGTTGCGATTGTATATGTTCCTCAAACTCTTGCCTTTGCCTCTCCCCTTCAGCCAATGAGTTCTCCAAACGCGTTTCTAGGTCTTTCTCTCTTTGGGAACTCGGTTTCTCTTTGTTGATGTAACTTGGTGCTTTCTGAAGCACCATCTGCACTATCTCAGCACAAGATAATGGGCTCCCCTTCTCTACAGCTTCAGCATAAATCCTCTTCATTTCCTCCTGCAAAGACGGTACAACCTCAAATTATTTATCAATACAGGACTTAGAACTTTATAGCCTAAACACTAAGACATAACATTCTTACATAGTTTTATTGTGGTTGCTCATTAACCCAACTGCCATCACTTCTCCAATGTGTGTCAGCATACACTATTATCTCCTTTGGCTCTTCTTCCTCCACTGCAGCAGATTGTTGTTCACTACTGTTCTCCTCGTCAGGATGGTTTGTGGTTTGCTTGGCTTTCTCCTATAAACATAAAAGTAACATGCATGAGCTGTGAAAAGATAAAAAAAAAAACAGTTTTGGAATTGGGTTACTATATGAATGTACAAGAATTTACCTTTTCCTACATCCTCTGGCTACAAGATTTACCACTGGTAGTATGTGCATATGCCTGCATACTCTTGTTATGCTTATTGGCGACACTTTGCCTCTGCAGAGTATTATATGTACACATGATCATTCATTGGATGCATTATGGGTCTACACTAGCAAATGCAGCAGTAAGAAAAATTTCAAACAAATTTATGGAGTTGTTGGCAGGGGCATCACCTTAAACCTTGGACTCTCAAAATGCTCGCACAACCGGACCCAATCATCCATATTTATGTTTTCAGGCGGAGTCTGGCGAGCATTGGCAGCACCTAAGTTCTGGTAATGCTCATGACAGTGGTGCTTGAAGTTCGTGAACCACTTGGACAAGGAATAGTCTATAGCATTCTTCATATCTTCAGTCATCGAGATATCAAACTCCGACTACAAACCGGAACAACATTTTAGTGGAATAAAAAATATGTAATAATCCTTTGTCAATTAACAAATTATTAGAGTGTACCTCTAGTTTCGCATAAATGGGCTGCTTTTCCTCTCCTGTAACAGCTGACCAATAGAACTTACCAATAGGCGCCATCATCTTGCATATCACTCTCAACTCCATCTTAAAAATTTTCGCATTAGTGCCAACTACCTTTTTGGATCCTTGTGCAACCTCAATACCGCCAATCATACTGCCATCACGAGTTCTCTTAAGTACCTCAAGACCTTTGTCTTTTCCGCGTCCTTTCTTCTGTGGTTGGCCTGTTATACAATTATATTCATCATGCAGCAGATATATGGTCATCATTTAATGGTGAAGTAATGCATTAAACAAAAGAAAACAATCACAATTAAACACCTAGAACTGAACACAAATTGATGTTTCTTTTTAGGGTTAATATCTTAGTTTGGCCCGAACTATAGACAAATTTTCTACTTTGGTACGTGGTATCGAAAATTGCTATTCTGGCCTAAACTATATAGCATACTTTCTTATTTGGCCCGGAGGCGGGTTTGACCGTCAAATTAGACGGCCAACTGAGTTGACTGTTAGTCAAGGTCCACCTCACTTGCCATGTCAGCTATTAGGGAATAAAAAAATTATTTTGTATTTTGTATTTTGAATTTTTTATACATTCTAATAATAAAAATAATAAACGAAAAAAAATAATTAAAAAAGCTCCCCAAATTAATTTTAGAAAGTAAACAAAACTCAAAAATAAAAAAAATATTCCTTTATAGCTGACGTGGCAAGTGAGGTGGACTTTGACTAACGGTCAAACCCGCCTCCGGACCAAATAAGAAAGTATGCTACATAGTTTAAGCCAGAATAGCAATTTTCGATACCACAGGCCAAAGTAGAAAGTTTGTCTATAATTCGCGTCAAACTAAGGTATTAACCCTTCTTTTTATTGATGGGGCTGCAGAATGAAGATGCAGATCCAAATCAGTAAACACACATCACACAAAACAGCATAAAACACCAAAGCAAATCATTGTTAATAAAAGTAATTACTTAATAAAATCCAACTGCACTTAAATTGAAAGCTAGCTAGTTAACGCACCAATAAAAGGAAAATTAAACAATGAAAACAAAAAAGCTCCCTACCAAGTACCAAACTACTAGTAACTCTACAAGTCTAGGACACACGATTCACTTCTTGCTGCTGGTGTTACAAGTTTTACACTAACGATGGTTTATCATAATCTAGTACGAGAATAATAAATACTAAGTGATAATAGCTTACTTAGTTCATTGACATCAGCTGCCGTTGCATCCAATTTGTTTGATCCATCAGAACCAGCCTCAGTCACTGTTGGAGTTTCTCTTGGGAGCTCGGAACTCTGTAGCTCCTCAGTGGTTTCAGTTGCAGCAGCAGTCTGATGCGAACTTCTTGTCATCCTTGTTGTTTGGGTTTGACGCATTGTAGCTTTCTTTCTTTTCCCACCTCTTATACAAACTTTTTGTTGTTGTTGAAAGAATGGGAATCCTCTGCCGCATACGAAAAGGATTTTCTTTTGATAAACGAAAAGGATTTTTTTTTACAGATTACTAAAAGGAATTTGATTAAGAAAATAAATTAATAAATTAAGAACAAAAACATAACCCTTCTTATTAATTAGAGCAAGGTGATTATACAAACTTTCTCCTCAAATTTTTTAAGTGAAAATTTGAGTAAACAGATACGCTGTCCGAAAGTTAAGGGTGGGATACGAGTTAGATATACGACCCTCACAATCCTAATTAAGGGTGAGATACGAGCTAGATACAATACCGGACAATGATATGCGTATAAGCCTATTTACTGTACCTATGCTCCCTATATCTTGTACTTATTTTTTTTTTAGAGTAAATGGGATAGTGAAGGTTGTGGCAGGAAGCTGACCAAAAAGAGCAAAACGACGACAAGGTTAATCATGCTCTCTTAGTGACCAACCTTGCAATTAACCCTAAAACTTTTAAAGTAGAACGACCAAAACCTTTTAACTTGTTCCCTAGGGGCAGATTGCTGATACAAGGTGTGTCTAAAGCTCTAGTCTAGCCTTCTATTTATACTAGTTACATAAGAGGAGTTTTTAGTTCTTTTCCTCCTAAAATCGGCCAAAACCTTCTTTTTATGACTTGAACTTGGATTCCTTCGACTTGGACAAAGTAAGGGTCTTCTAAAAACTCTCCATGGGCTTGGGCTTGAGCGTCGGGTGGAACCGCCACTGGGCCTTTGCTCATTTCCTTCGTGCAATGGGCTGCTTGTGGGACAAGTAACTCTTCATCCAATTTGTATAGCGGCGGATAGTAGGAAAATCTCTCGTGGGCCTCAATCAAAGTTGGTTTGTTGCACTACCAGATTTGCTTGTTTTGTCCATAAATTGAGCATTCCATGTCCAAATTCATCTTCATTTGAGACCATGAGCCTGTAATATGGTCCTCCTTTTGATCCATTAATTGGGTCCCTTTGTGATCCATATTTATCTTGAGTGCATTATATCTCTAAAATTCACCAAGCAATACCAAAAGGCATAAAATAGTACAAAAATACAGTCAAGGTCTATCATAAGTTCATAAATCAAATAGTTATGAATTCCATATGAAATATAATGAAACCCATAAAAGATGCATTGATAGAAGGAGGAAAATGTATCAAATATGAGAATGATAAACACTATAAATAGAGTGTTATCATATGCTTCTCCTTGTTATCTTTTTTTGCCTTTGAGGTGGTGTATGATTAGCAGAAGAGTCAGAAGTTTAAGCATGTTTATCTTACCCTAATTGGTGGTGGGCTCATAGAAAGAATGCAGGACAAGCCTCCTATACTCACGATCCTGGCCAAGCCTTTTAAGTTTAAGCATGTTTATCTTACCTTAATTGGTGGTGGGCTCATAGAAAGAAGGCAGGACAAGATTCGTGACCAACATACCATGATTTAAGAAAAATTATAAGATACTTGTTCAGAAGAACCTATTCTCTCTCTTAGGTACTAGCATAGAACCCGACCCGTTGGTCGGGAAAACTTGATACTTATGTGTAGATATATCCAAATTTGACGTACGTGTGTGATATATGATTAGTTCATTTTCTTCATGGTTTTTACACCTGGAAGGGTTGTTTTCTTGAGAAAGTTGCCCATGAATAATTGTGAAAAGTACTAAAAAAGCATTTGACTGATTGAATATATGTACCTTATATAGAGACTAATTCACTAATTCAATACGGACAACTATGGAGAATAATTAACCAATCGTGTGAGTAACATTCAACTGGTATATATCCTGTTTCATATAATATCCTTCACAATTTTGGAATTAATAGTATTTCCAAAGTCAAGTTGTTTTACATTCATGAATAAATAACAACTATATTCATAAAATAAAATATTCTTAAAATTTTGTGTTTGAATTGGAAGCGGGCCAAGTAGCAATTTAAATGAAGCCCATGATTGTCGAACCCAATAGAAAAGGAAGCTACTTTAAGCACGAAAGTGGGATTGCAGGGCAGTAAAAATTAATAGCCCAAAAAGACCAATTTGTCCTTCCGTAAGTTGCGCAGGAAGCTAGGATTTTAGCTTTACATATGTTCCCATGCGGAACGTGTATATAGTATTGGGAGGATAATGTAATTATCTTCATTGTTTAAGAGAGAAAATGCTATATTAATAGAGAGTGAGTATACACCAGGAGGGCTGGAAGTTCTGTATCGGTACTTGGTATATACCGAATATCGTACCGAATTTGTCGATATTTGGTATTACAGAATACACGAATTTTTTCATGGGATTGGGATTGAACTTCAAGTGTAATTCGGTATTAGGGATTGTGGGATGGAGATTGGTATATACCAAAATACCAAACAATATCGAAAAATAATATAAAAGAGTAGTGCATTTTAACCTCCAAACTAATCTCTCCTCAGTCCTCACACATTTTTTACCAGCCCTTAATTGCCAACTGAAATATGCATAACCGATTACCATTTTTAACGCCCCATACAATAATACAAAGCCCAATGATACTCTTTGAGACTTTGAAAATCCATACGACTTATACGAGGCAGCTAGCGCCCGGCCCACATGCAACATCTACTCTCATCCCACTAAAAGAATCTAGATCAGTATCTTCTCCTAGTTCACCTCTCTCAATTCACAATCGCTAATCGATTCGGCGAAGAGCAAGCAGGCAGCAACCATTAAAAGCAGGCCAAGAAATTGAGAAATTATTGCTGCCCATTGTTTTTTGTACGAGTTTGACTAGGCCAGTCTGTTACATCTGGGTCTGGGTTTTGACTTGGGCTTGACTAATGGTTGACTTGGGCTGGCTAGAGTTGACTGGGCTTGCACTAGAAGTTTAGAACTAACTTGGGTTGGGTCAGAGTTCACTCGACTTGACTTTGGACTGGGCTTATGCGGTACGCTTTGACTTGGGGCCTAAATTCTTTTGTTGTACATAATGTAATAGAAATGTAGCAATGTAATTAATTATAATTAACATGGTATTTATCTTAATAATGTTGTGATGACTTTGTTTTATTATTTAGAAATCATGGCCCATCCAACGACTCAATGAGATGGCCAATAAGCAATGCAAACAAAATTGGATTCATGTCTGACACGATAAACTCATACTATTAAATTGTACCAAATAAGATTTGCTATTGCTAATCTAATTTGAGGCAAAATGACGATCTATCCCAAATACTATAAATACATTTTAGCTAGAAATTCGTTATTGCAAACCTCAAACACAAACTAAATTTTATTTAATTAAATATGTTTAACCCGAACAAAAAAAAGTGGGGTAAATACCACATTTGGTCACTGAGATTACTAAATCGTGTCATGTTTAGTCACTAGAAAAATTTAATATCAGTTTTGGTCACTCGAATTACTGAAACATGTCACATATAGTCACTCTCCTGTTAGCCTCCGTCCAACTCTGGTCACTCGAATGATTGAAACATGTCACATTTAGTCACTCGAATTACTGAAACATGGTCACATTTAGTCACTCTCCCGTTAGTTTTCGTCCAACTCCATAAATGGAGTTGAACGGAAACTAGCAGGAGAGTGACTAAATGTGACCTATTTCAATAATTCGAGTGACCAAAATTGATATTAAATTTTTCTAGTGACTAAACATGACATAATTTAATAAAATCAGTGACCAAATGTGGCATTTACCCAAAAAAAAGTGTCTACAATTACTAAAAAAATAAATAGCCACCCTACCCCATTCCCTACTATCCACCCTTGTTGGAGCCTAAATAAATCCACCACAATGGGCTTTGCCCTTGGTTTTACCATCACAATGGGCTTCATTGATGCGCATCAATCAGCTGAGTTGGCTAAATAATACTCGCTCCAACAAAACTGGTCAAGTGATATATTAACCAGATAACTGCAAGAGTTCACTTGCACCATTTGCATTTTTACCCCAGAATGCACCAACAGTTGCTGTCGCGAGGATTAAATGATTGACTAGGGAAATCAAAGTTGTGCCAGGACATAATTTGATTACTCTCACATGAACTCTTATTTCCAGTGGGAAGCTCTTAATTTTTCAGAAAAGGGGAAAAATGAGAGCATATTGAGGCTATTTACAAGTGAAAGTTGTAGCTGGTTTCTTCTGTCCCGCTGTCAAGAAGCCTCTACAATGATTTCTGTCAATAAGTGATGCTCTGGACAGAAGCCTACATGTTGAAGGTTGATTTCTGGTGCTTTGCCCTGGAGTAGTCATCTATCCAACCTCGGATAAGCTTGATCTCAGTTGCTCTCTGTTGGATCAACCAGTCAGGATCCCCTGGGGTCGAAGGCCGCAAATCGATGTGGTGCGCACCTGAGCATTAAGCAGCCATTTTCCCCCCTCCATAAATAAGCCAAGAAAGGAAACATAGATAGAAACAAGTTACAGGACGCTTAACAATCACAGTTGGTAGTCCGCAGACAAACAAAATGCCAAACAAAGAGCATATTTTGCTTAATGTTTTAATTCGCATTCAAAATCAACTATACTTCAGCAACACAAACGGCATAGTTACCACTGAGCACAAATAAACTTTGCACAATCTGTAATAGTTCAAAGCTTCTTATTCATAATTTGGGTACGCAGGCTAGTGCAATGCAATCATTTAGGGCATCTGAAGTAGAATTTTGGTTTAGAAAGAAAAAAAAGGCGTACCTTCTTCCGTAACAAGGGCAGTAATTGTGTCGGATACATTCTGCAAGACACTGCCACAAAAACGGTTGAACCACCGTTAATAAGACAACAGCTCAGATTGTGAAACCGTTTGATGAAAGCTAAAGTTGCCGAGGCTAGTTTACCTGCCACCACTCCATGGATCCAGCAGACCATTAGAGAATATCATGTTGCTTCCAAATGTTCTCAGGGCAGTGCGGATATCCTTCATGGCAAAAGCAGCGGAAAGAATTGAGTACAAAGTTATCAGTAAGGTGTTCTGCAATTTTCAAAATTACGGAAGTGACAGAAATGACCATGGCAGGCAGATCTAACTCTAGCTGTTTATCTTAATCTAGAATGCCCAAAATAATTTCTACATGCAGTAGTATGCATGTGCAAAGGAAACTTCGTCAACATTATCAAAGATTAATGGATTGTGTTTGAGTTGCACATTTCAGTAGTAACTTATCTATCGTTTCATTAACTCGTGGAAGTTGGCTAATTTCATTCTCCAAGGTATTCGCGAGGAAAGGAGAATCAAATACCAAATAATGCTACACGAGATCAATCCAACTATCCATTATTATATTTAAATCCTCGAGCAACAAATATGAAACAAGATAATTTTCTACTTTAAGAACTTCCTCGGTTTAATATTTTTGACAAGTCGTGAGAAATTCAAGAAATACCATCATCTTTATCATGCTCCGGAGATGCCCACTACAACAAATTGTTGCACTAGGTTTTATTTTCAGGTTCCATACAAAGATCCTAATGCTGAGTAAACAGGGTGTCAACAAAGTTTGTGTGCCACACCCCCACGAAATTCCAACTATTGACAAGAAAAGAACTCCTGCCGAGAAGGCAGTAATCCTAAAAATTAGTTACTCCAAAGACACATTTAGGTGTTGTTTTACTGGTAATGGTATGTAAAAGAAAGGCAATTGCACGCTATCCAGGCATTGTTAAACTCAAAACTTGACTACTAGGCTACTTTTTTTTTTTTTTACTTACATGTCCACCAAATTCTGTTGTCACCCATCTAGGCCTTGGCAGAACACTGAAAGTTCTCCAGCAGTCCTGTTCGTAATCAGAGTAATGAAAATCATACGGAGGAAACATGCTTGTTTCCTTGTCACTGGACATTGGCATAACCATCTCAGTGCATGCCTGGGAAAAAGTAAACAACATTAGATAAATGTAACTACGGCTGTGAGCAGCATCCATTGTTATCAAATAATAGGAAATACTGACAAATAAGAGACTAGGGCTGAAACTTAGTGACCTGCCAATTCCAACCATCCAAACCGTGTGGATCATCATCAAGTTCAAAGCAGCTAGCTGTACCAGTGTAATTATAATAGATGCTTACACCAGCAAAAATGCGCTCCAATACACTACTCCCTTCAGGACTGTCATCAATTTTCCTGCAGACCTGAGAAAAAGCAGCACAGATGTCTCCGGTAATGGAATGATCTCAACTTGCCCAATTCGCATTCACGAATGTCCTCAGAATCAATTTACAACTATCAGATCATCCACAGACATACACAATCTTTTTGTTTCCATCCAATCCCATAGACCTAAACAGAATGCATATGAATTGATATGAAATAGAATGCATCACCAAACGACCTCTCTAATTGGGTGGCCAGGCAGAGGCATCATAAAGGAAGATGGATAAGGGTAATCCACCATTGCCAAATAGCTATAAGCAGATTCCAACCAGTCAATGAGATCTCCAGTACTTTTCAACTCCCTGCCAAAATTATCTTCAATCAGTCAATACCCAAGGAGAAGACAACAAAGGGAAGACTTAAAACCCTAAGCACAATATGCATGTAATATTCGACTTCTATTCATATCGTTTTCCTGACCGACAGAAGTGGAAAGTTTTGGTCAATAGTGAAAGGCCATTGTCTTTCCGTCCCTCGGCCTCTACTTCACCCCATGACTTCTTTATGGTATCAAAGCAGCTGGTGCTTTCACGCTGAGAGCATATAAAATAAGATTGATTCAGCATTCATGAAACAGAAATAGAAAGAAGGAACAAATTGGAAGTACTAAGAACAGCATGCCTTGAAATCATTCGAAACGATGTTGTAAAACGTGTCCGGTGGCACGATGTTTTCGAATTGAAGAATCGGAGCTGAAGAAGCCAGTGCACCAACTGTAAGGTGTGGATACTTGAGCCTCATCCACGCTGCTAACACTGTACCATCCAAAGAAAGACCAAGCAATTAGCATTCATCAAAAGGGGATTCATGAACAGAATCCTTCCAATCAAAATTTGTGGTTGAAACAGAAACTAGAGAGCCAATGAATGTGTATGAACTCCTGTAGCTTTATGCTGTGAAAATAGGAATGATCAAGCCACATTACTTCCACCATAAGATCCACCAAACAGCACAACCGGGCAATTCTCGGCGGATAAATTCCTCTTCAAATCCGTGATCAACACTGCGTAATCAGCAACTGCTTGCTCTGCAGTTAGATACGCCAATGTTGTAGCGTTCTTATAAGCCTCTTCCTGGCTCCCGTACGGCATCGATTCCCCGTAGTAACGATGCTGAAATAAAGATTCTTATCTCTCAAATTGAAATAGGAACTGGGAACCAGAGAGCAAAATTAATGAAACCCTCGGTACCTCGGGGAAAAGGATCATGGCGCCAAACCTCGGAGCAATCTCCCATACAAAGCCGGTGTTGACGGCGAACCACTCGATGTCACCTTCATTTCCACAGTAGAGGAAAATCGGCCCCCGCCGTTCAGGACCAATCCAGTGCTCTGTGTTTATGAGGTATCGTTGTCGAAACTTGGGAAGATCGGCGAAGCTGAAGTGATCGAGGTCCTGGAGAAAGTATCGAGTCTGGTAATTGTACTGCTGCCGCTGTTGGACTTTGATTGGGTGTGAGCGTTTACCGGGAAACAGTGGGGCGCGTCGGAAGGATGGAAGTGTTGCTGCCGGCTGTGACGGCGGAGATCGCGAAGATGCTGGAAAGACGGCGACGGTGGCGATAACTAGGAGCAGTAGAGGAAGGAGGGGTTTTTGACCGTCGATTCCCATGCTCACTGGTGAGCTCTTTTTCGCCGGTGATTGCTCGATGCTTAGTAAGTGAACTGTGGTACTAGTGAAGGTGGTTTTGCAGGAGCAGGATTTTCAGGCTAAGAAAGATGGTTGCTTTGCCGAATGACGCGTGGACGATCTTTTAAATCGCGATTGCTAGGAGCCGGGAGGCCAGTCGGGACTTGGGTCGTGTAGAATTTCCAATGATTGAAATACCATACTCTATCCGTGGTTCGACCAGAAAATATTGTACTGTATTAGCGGTATTTAGCGGTTGAACCACAATTAAATTATGGTTTTAGCATAAAATACTTTATCGCTGACTTTTTCGGTACAACCCCGGTAGGGCTGAAAATTGCCTTGACCCGTCCCTGATCCTATCTGACTCGTCCCTAAAGAGTCAAGATGTATAATTGTCTCGTCTCGTCCCTGTCTCCTTCTTGACCCTGTGTGACCCTCAAGGGATGGGATGGGTCGAGTCAGTGGGTCGACCCTAATTTACACACTACTTTTTTACAAATTACGTTTTCGTACCCAAAATTATTTTTTCTTACAATTTAGTACCTAAAATTTATTTTTTTTACAAGTAAGTCCTTAAATTTTGATGTTGAAATTACATTTCGGTACCCTATTTTTTTATTTTTTGCAATTTAGTACCAAATTTTGAAATTTTTTACAAAGAGGTCCAATGTGGTATGGGATATTTGTTGTTGCTAAGGGTCACAGGGTCAAAAAGTGACCCGTCCCTAAGTTGACCCGACCCGTCCCGACCCTTATAGGGTCAAAAGCTGGCTCGTCCCTAAACTGGCCCTATAAACAAACAGACTCGTCCCGACCCTCAAGGACGGGACAGGTCAGTGGGTTTTTAGGGTCAAACTTACACCCCTAACCCTCGGTATATTTCAATCCTTGCGAATTTCCCATCTTCATCCCCTTCTCCATCTTCATCCACATTCTCATCCTCATTTTTTAAATGGTAAATTGCAAATTTTGGTAACTAGAATTAGGGGTGGACGTTCGGTCGGTTCGGTTTGAACCGAATCGAACTGGCATGCACCGAGATTCCGAACCCAGATATTCCCCAACCGATTTCGAACCGAAATATAATTTGGTTCGGTTCACCCGAACCGAATTATATCTCGGTTCGGTCCGGTTTCAAGGCCCAAACCCGAAAATATAAAACAACCCACTTTATTTCTATTCCCCACTAAAAGTCGACCCCAAATTATTCCTTCCCCTCTCCCTCATCTCTCATCTATCTAATCTGCTCCTCAATCAAACTCTCTCTCCTCTTTCCTCTATCTCCCCCAGATCTATCCTTCCCTCAAACAATCTCTCTCTCGTCCCTCCTCTATCTGCCCAAATCTATCATTCACTCAATCTCTCTCTCTCTCTCTCTCTCTCTCTCTCTCTCATCTCCCCTGCGACCCCGAGACCCGAACTCGGCGGCAACGACTATTGACCGAGAGAACAAGACGGCGGCAGTGCCAACGACGATGGCGATTGACGAAGTGAACAACGCGGCGGCGACGGCGACGAAGATCCTTGCACCTCCCCAATCAACATTCTCTTCATCTCGACTGATGCATGTGGGTTTTTATGTTTGATTTTCTTGGTTTAAGTGACATGCACTAGTTGAGGAGAAGAGAACTGAGAGATGGGAGATTGGTCGGCGAGGATGGTGAGTGGGTGACGATGAGGGATGGCTGCTGTGTAGGTTGTATATTTGTTGTGAGTGAGTGGGCTTAGGGCTAGGGCTGTGAGAGATTGGGTTGGGCAGAGTGGTGGGGTGTTAGTGTGTGGGCTATGAGAGATTGGGCTGGGGTGGGGACTGGCCGACTGGGCTTTTCGGTTTTTCGGTTCGGATTTCGGAATTCGGGTTCGGTGACGACAACCCTGGGTTCCGAAATACCCATTATTCTTGTCCGAATTCCGAACCGAACAACAATAGTTCGGTTTTGGTTCGGTTGAATTTGGGTTCGGGTCGGGTCGGGTTTACCGAACCGCATGCCCACCCCTAACTAGAATTAAAGTTCACGTTTGGCACTAAAATTAATTTATTCTATCCGTAGTCACTTAAATTTGTTCAATAGTTCAAATTTAGTCACTCTCCGTTAGTCTCTGTCAACTTTAGCTGATGTGGGATTCATCAAAAAAAAAAAAAAAAAACTTTAGCTGATGTGGCAGTCAACTCTAAAAATTGACCATTAAATAAGTGACGTGACAATTAAAAAAATAATAATAATAAAAATTTAACCTTTTAAAAATTCCACCTCATTATCACAATAAATAAAAACAAAAATAAAATAAAAATAATTGCAATAACAGAATATGCAAAATTGTAAAATAAATCCATTCCCCATCCCACTCCGGCGACCCTCATGACCGTCCACTCCATGGTCCCTGCTCCCGATTTTCCATGCCTTCAACCACCATCTTCTTCCCTTCATTTTACCCGCAACAGGTGTACTCGAGAGACGCGAAAGTAGTGTTGAATGTGACAGTGGAAAAGATGGTGAAACTCGGCTCCACCGTCGAAGAGACGATTGGTCTCGTGGTGAACAAGTACTCCGAAGAGGGAAGAACTCACAAGTTTGAAAGAGATTCCTAGCCGTCTACGAATTGCACCACTCCCACTTTAGCCTCCAATGCGAGTCGCTCCGGGATAATAACTTTCACATTTTTATAGCGGATTGGATTTCCTTGTTTTCTAGTCCCCTGTTTCTTTTCAATTTTCAATATTTCCCAATTGTAAGTTGTAACCACCTTCCTCGTCGGCTGATTCTGACAAATAATCTAGCACAGTCAACGAAATAACACGCACAGTTTTTTAACATGGTATCATCAATGTGACACTAGTCCACGGGAGGATCTCCCTCTCAAGTTTTATTTGTTAACCTTGCCATATACAGCCGAGCAACTATATATAGGGTTCTACAAGATTAACCCTAACTACATATTTACATAATGCTACCTAAATTATATATATTCAACACCCCCCCTCAAATTGATGTTGGGTCCTTAACATCAATTTCGAAGACAGCTACAAATGTCTACTTGAGGCAACAACCTTTGTCAATAAATCTATAGTCTGTTCCTCTGTATTCAAAAGTTGAGCTGGATTGACCCATCGGCTATCAACTGGCGAATATAGTGAACATGTACCTCTATGTGTTTTGTCCGATCATGCAGTACTAGATTAATTGCTATCTGTATAGCACTACTGCACTAGTATTGTCCCCATATCCGCATAGGCATGTTACAAACCACACCAAGTTCTTGAAAAAGTCTCTCAAGCCATACCATATATGAACTGACTTCTGACAAACCATCCAGACGTTGATCTTCTAGTATCCAGGTAACCGACATAATCGGCATCTGTAATTGTCTCAAGTTCTGGCTTACCATCACTCGAAAGAATAGCCTAACTTCTTAAGTGTGTTTAAGGTAGCGCAACAGTCCATGAACAACATCCAGATGTGTAGTGCGAGCTGCTCCTGTGAATTGACTAACTATCTGCACAGCATAAGCAATGTCAAGACGTGTATGTTTTAGATAGATTAGACTACCTACTACAGTACGATAAAAGGACTGATCTTCCAAAAGTTCTCCACTGTCTTTACTGATCTTCAAATTTGTTCCATAGGTGTACTACATGGACGGCATGAACTGTATTCTGTAGCTTCAAGTAGATCATGTATATACTTTTTCTTACTAACAAACAAACCAGCTTCAGAGCGGCTAACTTCCACACCTAGAAAATATTAGATTCTCCAAGCTCCTTAAGATTAAACGCTGAATGCAGACTCACTGTTAACTCCTGAATCCCATCACGATCATCACCTGTGACAATCATGTCATCAACATATAATAACAAGACTACCATACCATGTACCGTATGTCGTAGAAACATAGATAGATCATTCTGGCTCTGAGTGAAACCCGCTTGAAGAATTGCCCCATGAAACTTCTCAAACCAAGCCCGCGGAGCCTGTTTGAGACCATACAGAGACTTCAAAAGCTTACACATCAAACCCGACCCTCCTTTAGAATAGCCTTTTGGACACTCCATATAATAGTTTCTTCCAAATCTCCATGTAAGAAGACATTTTTTACATCAAATTGCATAATGGGTCATTTCAGCATAGCAGCTACAACAAACAAACTACTAATTACAGTGTGCATCTTTGCAACAGGAGCCAAGGTCTTATCAAAATCTATACCAAACTCCTGTTTAAAACCTTGTGCCACAACGTGTGCCTTAAAATGCTCAAGCGATCCATCTGGATTAACTTTACTCGCATACACCCATGTACTGCCAATAATCTGAGCAACAGGAAAGCGCAGAACCACTTTCCAAGTTTTCCAAGCTTCCAAAGCATTAATTTCATCATCCATGGCTGCTTCCCATCTCGGATCCCCTTTTGCGAATCGATAATGAGAGGGAACCGGAATGGCAGAAGCAGAATACCCACCATAATTATGAAATAAGTTGGAGAACGTCCCAATGTGGCGCGGCCTGATCTCAGAGGAATTGGAAGTGTTGGAGGTGTGGGTTTAACTTGCTCCCAAAGAATAGAAGCATCTGAACCAGTGGAGCTAGATGAAGATGCCCTCCCTTTTGAGGATGACCTAGGGGACGCTGAACCCAAAAAAGAGACACCAAGACTTTTCGTGGGTGAAGAAGTAGTAGTGGTATGCAAAGAGGTAGTATTAGTAGGCGAGTTCACTATGGGAGTGGTTGGAGGAGTATATAACAAATCATTATTTGGACCATTACCAAGAGGATCCACTGCAGGTCCAGACGACACTACTGGTGGAGGCTCAATCAATCTCATAATCACTTCATGTATCATTCAATCAACATAAATTGACTAACCCCTCATCCAGTTTCAACATTCATGTATTAAATCACAAAATCCCCTCACCTAAGAACCCTAATCCGATTCTCCAAATTAACAAAGTACAAGTTCAAAACACACCTGGAGACTCAAGTAGGATCGAAGGGGAAGGTGAGAAGACGGAGAGGGAGTAAAAAAAAAAACTGGCCGCAGAGGCTTCACCTGGGTGTTGCTCCCCCTAGATAGTAATCATGACTTGTTGAACCGAATGCAAATGTGTGGTAAAAGCGGTTGTAAACCATAGGGAAGCACAACAAGTGAACAAGTTTCACTCTCTAGGTCACTAGGCCAAGGGATATTAAATCAAGCTACCAAAGTAGCTCTCTTGGCCAATCGACTAAGGGTTGCTTAGACTTCTCCCTCGAACTATAGTCCGGACGGTCAAAATACAACCTACCCAAGGTGCTAACACGTAGTATGTGGTTTGCCCTAATTCGACCTAAGTAGGTGACACAATTTGGCCAAGAAATTCCAGCTTTTACAAGCCTCTTAGCAAGAACGAGATTTTCCTCTACCTAGGTCAAATTGGCATAAGATTTGGAAACGGAAAACACAACACAACCTTCATGAAAATACCTCAATACTTGTATTAAAACACAACCACACACGAGTCATTCAATCCATACAAGCATTCACATAGTTCTAGCTAGGGTTTACAAACACTTAAGTGAAAGAAAGGACTACTCCATGCTAAGAAGTGGGATTACACAAAGGAGAAGAGAAAAGACCATCATGATAGGATTGAATGAAACCTTTTGTGTGAAGATCAACCTTTGAGGATGAGAATCCCAAATCTTGGAGCTTGGATGAAACCCTAACCTTCTTCTCTTCTCTTGTTCGACACTTTCTCTCTAGAAATATGAAGAATAAGAAGTTTTCCCACATTAGGTTCTCTCTCTTTTCTCTTTCAGCTCAGCCCTCCTTTTATACCCAGATTGACGGCTTTTCACGGTCCCAGTTTCACGACCGTGAAATATAAGCATGGACCGTGATGTTGAGCAAAAGCGTCGTTTCATTAATGCTCTTCATGGTCTAGAGCTAATTATCACGGTTTAGTGGCCGTGATGTCCTGAATGCCCGCGAGATGGACGAAACCCCTCTGGACTCCACACACTTCACGGCCAGTGCCTTGCCATCATGGTCTGGTTGACCGTGAACTTCTCACCTCCACCGTGAACTCCTACTGATTGCTCCCTTTCGATCTGTTTTCGCCCCTTTTCGTCCAACTTTCGTCCCCGAGGTCGATTTCACCTGTTAGTATCTGAAACAAACTCAAAACAAGCACAACCTAGCATAAAACCGAACCTCATGGAGTGAAAATGCCTCAAGCATCTAAGGAAATGGGGTAAAATGTATACAATAGGACCCGAATCAGGCACCTCTCTAGAGGAGCCACCAGAGTTAGAGCCCTTACCAAGTCATCTCGAGCAAGCATTTCCGGAAGGGGGGGCAATGTACCAGTCATTATCAGCTTAGAATTCACCCCGAACAAAAAACTGGATTGGTGGATCTACTAAAGAAGCATGAGAAACCACTAGCATGGAAGATCATAGATATTAAGAGCATTAGCCCCTCATTCTGCTCTCACATGATCCTCGTGGAGGATGAGATCAAGCTAGTGGACAACCTCAGCGCAGACTTAACCTCAACATGGAAGCCCTGGTCATGGCATAGATTATCAAATTGTTGGATGCCAAAATTATCGATCCGATCTCGGATAGTGAGTGGGTGAGTCCCACTCAAATAGTACCCAAGAGAGGAGGCATGACAGTCGTGCCAAACAAGAAGAACAAGCTAATCCCTTTGCGCACAATAATAGGATGGCACGTGATTAAAGAAATACAATCAGTAGCTCGGGGAGTCTTGAGACTCTCCCTTTGATTAGTGCTTAACCTTTTAGGGATACCACATAAATTTATTATCTCTCTGTCTTTTGTTTGATTCAATATGTGTAACTCCTCCAACTAGACAAGAGTCCATCTAACTTTGTCTAGTTAAGAGATGTATATGAGGTTATACATTTGATACTCAGGTCTATAACAACACGCTTATATATCAACAACTTTTTAAAGGGAGTCAATTAGTTCTTTCTTGATAGGTATTGCCATATAAAAGGGGATTGCTTACCAGGCTAATCTAAGTATTTAATGATCTTTCCTTATCTGAAATTTAACCAATCATTTAAACAAAGAAGAGTTAGGTCAGATAGAATCCAATCAATTAGATCATTAATTGGCCAACCGCAAATGGGAATACAATGTGGTTATGTGATTTTGTGTTTTATTTCTTTTGTTGTCTATATTATATGTGGTTGTTTTTTTTAGTAAGAAATGTGATTGTTGTTAGATTACATTGGAATTCTCTTCATAAAAAAAGAATTTGACAATCTTTTATAGTATGGATGTTTATATAAATTTATTTTATTATACAAACCAAATATTACCTTTGATGGTATGGTACGAATTCAGTTTTTTTTTTAATTATTTAAATTTAATTTGCTCCTATATTTTTTGTAAAAAAATATTGATTGTATTTGTACATTTATATTATGATTTAAACGGTATTTATACCTTCAATATTATAGTACGAGTTCAATTTGTACCTCAAAACATATAGAAGGCTCAAAATACTTATATAGAAGTTTGTCGGAAAATATATTTATCTCTGCATGCATATGAAAAGTCTGGAAGGGTTTTAGTTATAATAATTGGTGATTAATTAATTAAATGATGATCATGTATTGTTTATGGGTGACCTAACTTCCTCATTCTCCATAGCCGACAAAGGCATTATTGAAAGTGCATGCTTTTCTATCTAAAATATATAATAATGCATAAATAAAAATCAGAGGTAGGTCCCAAAGACACTCCTCCTTGTACATCAACTTTCTAGTTAAGCAAAGATCCGGATTCTTGTTAATGAATCGTATTCCTCCTCTCCTCTCACCAATATTAATAATTAAGTGAGAAAATATATTATTATTATTAGATTAATTAATTGTGTGTTTTGTGTTTGTTGCTAGGTATTTGGTATTGTGCACCAAAGACACGGTCTGCCTTGAAAACTCTCCAATCGTGTGTGTGCCGTTTTACCTACTTTTTGGTTTCTTTCTCAAGTTTTTCTTTTCCACACACAATAAAGAAAAGACAAAAGAATTCCAATGGCAACAACAACAACAAAAAAGTGGGTATAGCTTTTCCTCAAGGCTGTCAAACTGGTTTAATTTTTACGCGGTTTAGGAAGTGGTATTGTTCAAATAGTAGTATGACTATTTTGTGTCGATTCAATTCGATTTAATAAAACATAAAAAATTATTAACACCAAAAGAATTTAAATATATAAGACATATTTGAAGACAATTTACTTACAATCTTTATTCATATTTAAATCAACATTTCAAACAAAATAAAAAATAATCATATTTAAATGCAACATTTAACGTCAACACTCAAAGTTTTATACTTGAATCCAACAAATAAAATCAAAATTTTGCTTTTAAATTCATGAAATGAATTACAAATTAAGTTTTTTATTAATTAAATTTATTAAAACAACGTCGTTTTGTTTATAGATCGAAAGTCGCTCATGCCAATCATAACGATGGTAGTCACACCAATTTTATTACCGGCACCTGTTGAACTAGCTTCAACCGGCCGACATTTCACTTGCGTGACAACCATGCTTTTCTTCCCATCATCATCACCATCTTCATCCTGGTTAAGAGAGAGCTCTTCCCACTTCTTCTCTTCTTTCCCCCACTTCTCAATGATCATAAGCAAGAAAAAGAAATTGAAAGCCACCCCTCTAGGGTTGTAGTGGTAGTGGTAGTGGTAGTGGTAGTGGTAGTGCACATCCCTTTCTATGCTTGCTAGATAGCTAGCTTTTTCAACATCCAAATAATTCGCAAGCAAAGGAGGCGATTAAAATAAATAATATGTATAGCATGGGGACAAAGTTCAAATCCAAAAAGGAAACCCAATACTTCAAAAAGATTGATGATGATGATGATGATGTTGTATTATGTATATTAGTGAAGATTGGTCTTGAAACTAAAGAGACAACTTTATCATTATCTTGTGAAGGACTATGACCATAAATGGTGATGTAATTATTTGGTTTTTTTAGGATTAATTATCTATATAGTGATATTATATACAAGTTGTCAAGCTGGTTTAACTCATTGAGCCGGTCAAATAAGGGGTTTGAGGTTTAATGGTCTGATCGGAGTTCGGCCGGTTTGAGCCGTTTAGACGTTTTCTAAATATATGTACAAATAAGATAGTAATTAAAGATTTAATGGCTGAAATAAAATTTATCTTGCATATATGTATTAAAAACTTATTTTTCACAAAATAAATCTATCTAACCTTCATGACTCACCCATCATCTCCCTTCCTTCGTTCCTCTCCCTCTCTTCCCCCTCTCTTCTTCTCACTCTTTAGTGGTCAGACCGAGAGGCTTTCTGTATGCCATTTTGAAACTCGACTCGGGTCCAACCGGGAGTTCGGTAGGGATTTAACAACGTTGATATATAGTCAAGGATAAAAATTGGGGGAAACTAAAGCAGGCTGAAAAGCTACCTCTCCCTCCCCTCTTTCAATCGTCTATATGGTGTGACGAATTAAATAATTAATTAACAAAAGAATGAAATTTGGGTGATGGATGAGCAATGTGGACATGGTACCCATTTCTTACTGGTTAAATGTAGGGGTGGAGTGGGAGACAGTTCATGTGGTGGGGAAGGAAGCAATATTGGATGTGTATTATTAAAAAGGCCATACTTTGGGGACTCAAATATAACATTATTAGTTGTTGTTAGCAGCACCCTCCCTGCAATAATGGCATGATATCCAATCAATTTCCTCCAAAACCAAACCAAACTACTAACCACAAAGCGCATACAATTCTAATTCTGTCATAATTGATGATGATGATGATGATGATGATGATAATAATAATAATAATAATAATAATAATAATAATAATAATAATAATAATAATAAAGGTTGGGATTGGGGGAGGGTGAGGGTGAGAAAAGAAGAACCCATCTCTCTCTCTCTCTATTCCAAACCCAATCTTCTTTGAATGAGTCTGCAAAGATATGGGGATAATGTTAGGACAAATGGAAACATGAAGAGGGTGAGCAAAAGAAGGGTAGGGAATCATAATTAGGACACCATAGGAAAAGAGAGGTGGGAATAAGAGCAAGAATAACAACATCAAAACTACTTGTGATTGTCAACAATTGCAAACTACCTTTTGTTAACAAATATCACACGATGCAGATGTTCGAGGCTTAACCCACCACTACATATTTGGGGAAAAAATTCTCGATAATTTGCAATGCTTATTAAGCACGACTGGACAAAGCGAGAATAAAAAATATAAGAAAGGTGCAAGCACCATCATAAGAGTTAACTCACTCCTCACCTACATATACCAAGCATTACTACACATGATGACATGAACCAACGCAAAATCCGAAGCAAATTCTAAGTTACTGTCGCCACCTTTTTTAGAGTAATCACAGTAAAAAAAATAAGTGACTTCGTGAATCATTAAATCCAGAACACAAGACACAGTTTGAATCAGTGCTCCTACATTATGCAATCAGTTTATCTCTAGTAATGATCCTATCCTTCATAATGAGCCAGACCACGAATCGATTACTAGGGATATTGTATTTGATCCATAGCAATTTCCACTAAGGAATAATAGTATATTTGGTTCTTAAAGAGTTTCAGACCAACCTGATTTTGTATACGTCTCCATCAGTATTCCTTCCCAAGAGATAAACCCTCCCCCTTCTGCAATCAATCTAAAATGGAACCACTATCGGAGTTTGAGTAGTTTCTTCCAAATCCAGGACCCTTTCTGGGTTCCTTTCAGATCCCATTAAAGCCTCCTTTTGTGGAAAAAATTAAAATTATGGTTAAAACAAAGAAGGTACAAAAATTCTAGGTGGACACTGATGGACAATGTAAACTCAAGTTAGCTCACGAGCGTATCAAGCTGAGCATGCTATAGTTCAAGTTTGGCTAATACGAGCCGACTCGATAAATTACGAGATGAATATCAAACGCGTTTTTTTCGATTCTAGCGCCAAATTACTTGCAAACGGTTTGGCTCATTTGCAGCCCTAACGAGAAGCTTGTTGCTCTACCGATTGATCTTAACTCATGGTGTCCATCTCTACTCAATGAATAAACAACAATTCAAAATTAATTAACAACTTGTATGGTTCTGCTATGAGCAGAAATTCACCATAACAACAACAACAACAAAAAAATTTGTTGCCGGAAATGTAACGACATGATTTAAAGTGAGGAGGGATGAAAAAAAACAAGTTGCAACAACTTTCCATGCTCTAAATTTAGTAAGAGAGGCTTATAACTCACATCCAACCAGTTTCTCACCATGCCTTGAAGTTACTATAACTTGATGTTTTTGACCTGCTATAGCAGGTTTTATAGGTCGCGTTACGTAAAACTAATGTTTATTACGTAACAATTACGTAATGCTTGTTAGTCTTACGTAACAGTTAAACTAGAAGCGTTACGGAAGGTTTCCGTAACGACTTATCATTTTACGTAACGGTAGGTTAATATTCATTACGTAAAAGCATCGTCTATTACATAAGGTTTCCGTAATGATATTTTACAACTGTAACATAAAATACACACTCATTACGTAACGAAGGTTATTTCTTACGTAACAGTTAAATTAGAAGTGTTACGTAAGACTTCCGTAATGACTTACCACATTACGTAACTGATTAATATCATTACGTAAAAGGACCATCCATTACGTAAGGCTTCCGTAATGCCACTTTACAACTGTTACGTAAAGTATGCATCTATTACGTAAAGGTTACGTAACGATAGTTATTTCTTACGTAACAGTTAAATTAGAAGTGTTACGTAAGCTTTCCGTGATGATTCAACGGATTACGTAACGAAAGGTTAATATTCATTACGTAAAATGAGTCTCTATTACGTAAGGTTTTCATAATGACATTTTTCAACTATTACGTAAGATAAACACACATTACGTAACCATTACGTAATGCCTATTGTATTTTACGTAAAGCGACTTGTAAAACCTGTTATAGCAGGTCAAAAACATCAAGTTACCATAACTTCAAGGTATTGTAGGAATTTCCTATAACTTTAGATAAAAACATTGAGGAGTTGTATCACCTTCTGGACTACACATAGTTCTATCACTGACTTTAACATTTCAATTATTATTTTTATTCTTTACAGGCTTAATGGGCATATCAAATTGGCTGGTTCACAAGGTTGTCAACCCGCGGGTTGACCCACGGGTCGACCCAATTTGACCCTGACCCGGTGAGAAAAACGGGTCGCACGCACCCGCCGGGCCGACCCCTATAAGGTACCGGGTTGGAGGTTAAATTGTGTTATTTTTTTCTTTAGTTTGCAAAATGCGCCTATTTTCCAATTTTTCTTTTTGCCTAACTCAATCTTTGGAATGCTAAGTTGAATATTTGAATATTTATGTTATATAAGTGTGTGTGAATTTTCACTATATATTGGATCTAAGTACGATATGTTATTTTGGTGTAATATTATATGTTATAACTCATATGTTAGATAAGATTTGATATAATTTATGAGGATAAGTACAATATAATTACTATTTCTATATTTCCGGGCCAAAACGGGCTAAAACGGTTGACCCTTTAACCCTTGACCCACTAGTTTGACCGGGTCCGGGTCAACCCGCGGGTTGACAACCTTGCTGGTTCACCACCATACTTTGATTCGACTATCAAATACCGCACAACACGATTTTTTTGTCATTTGTTTGTACAATGTCAATTTTAATTTTAGGGTTTGATATTTTTCGATTGAACCACCAATACCGTACAATTTTATAAAACAACGGTGGTAACAGTGAAGTTTGGTACGTTGATGGGGTCGGGCGATCTACTAAGGAGGGGCAGCCCGAATCGTTCTCATCCATAGTTGATGCATGTTGTCTCTCACTCCTTAATTCATTATTAACCACAATTTTACGCATTGCTTTCTAGTAAAAACTAAAAAAGCTTAGTTGATACTTGATATGCCACGTACTGTACGGGAATATATACATAATATAGAGGTATATATTCTTTCCCCTTGCTTACGCCAACCATAAAAAGGGAGTCAAATTTGAAGTGATAATTAGTTTGACAAATTAAGAGGCACTCATATGGTTGTTGGATGTTGGCCGGTTGAACCTGATTTAATCGATGCCGGTTATCAAATCGGCATAACACTATTGAGACGATCTGCATGATCAATTTACGAGCTCTAATTAAAATGACGTAATTTTATTGAATTTGATTGATAAAAAAATAAATTTATTATATGTTTTATGAATATAAAAGTTAAAAGTTTGTGTAATTTGTTAGATTTAGCTATAAACGTTTAGATATTGACGTTAAATATTGTATTTAAATATGATTATTTATTATTTTATTTGGAATATCATATTTTATTAGCCAGACATTAACTGTCACAAACCAGTTGTACCACACTGGTCATACTATTCCACTTGATTAACCAGCACAACAATATAAATCGATTTGACAACTTTTACACTCAACATATCATTAAAATTTATTATTTTCTACCAGATATTAATATGGTTAAAGACTTTTAGGTCGGGAAAATTATTAGTCCGGGGAGGGAGCACTGCTAAGATAATGGGAAAAGGAAGTTGGTTTTTTCATGATTGTTAGTTGGTTGCAATAATAATAAGCATCATAAATACAAGTGGGGTTTTGGGAATGGTCAACCTTTGTATAGAGATAGACCACAAAAAATTTCTTTGACAAAGAGATATAGTAATTACTAATTACCTAAATTAAACTACTGTTTTTCTTCCGTGCAGGCTAATTAGGGGGAATGGATCAGGTCAGTAACTTTATGGTGAGTAATTATGAGTAACCCGCCCACATCAGCATGACATCAGCATCCTCTCTCTCCTGGAAAGCCTTTAATTTTCCCCTCCTTAATCTTTGACGGACGATTTCTCACTCGTTTTAAGTCGAAATTTAATTTTTTTTGCACAGTTAGATCAGATTAATTGTGCTCTTCAAAATGATATTCACTTTTATATATTTTTCGAACAAAAAAAAACTGAGCCATTTTTTACCAGTCTATACCATATGGTATTGACTGGTATTGAAATAAGAGCATACCTATGGGTTCAAAAGCGTACCATGGTGGTATGAACAAACCAAGACTCTAGGATGATTGAATACATGATAGTAGAAGTATATTAATTGTCATTTACGACTTTTAACATTGTATACCATAAAATACCATAAAATACCACCCCGTACCAGGGTGGTATTGTATGGTATTGTGTGGTATTTTTTGGTCTCGTAATTTGTTCACCCAGAAATTTGTAGATCCAATAGATCATGATGAACTCGTCCCTGCTGTGCAAACGTTTTCAAAAACGAATGAAAAACGAAGAAAATACCATATGGTATGCAGTTGGTACCGAGAGGCCAGAATTTTTTTTTTCCTCAAAAAATATTGAAAATTGATCTCATTTTGTAGAGCACGACGAACTCGTTCCATCTGTGCAAAAAAAATTAAAATCCGAGTTAAAACGAAAAAGATATGAGTCAATTAAGAAAACTAGTGAAAATAAAAATAGCCTTTAATTCTCCATCCTTAGATCTGGATTTTCTAAATGAAGGGTCCAGATTTGGTTATTGATGGGTGCATAACCCATGGTTATGCACCCTATCTTGAGCCCTAATTAGGGGAGCATATCCTATGAGTAACCTTGTGGTGAGTAACCTCATGCATAATCCAATAAGAATCTGCCATATCAGCGCCTTCTTCTCTCTCCTGGAAAAATCATTAATTTTCTTTTCCTTAATCTTTAACGGTCAATTTCTCACTCGTTTTAACTCGGAATTTTTTTTTTGCATAGTTAGATCAGATTAATTGTGCTCTTCAAAATGATATCCACTTTGATATTTTTTGGAACAAAAAAAAATTTGTCAGTTATTACCAGTCTGACTGGTATTAAATAACAATTAATAGCATACCATATGGTATGAAAAATACCAGTCAATACCATATGCTGTTATTTAACACCAGTCAATACCATATGGTATTAAATAACAGCATACCATATGGTATGAAAAATACCACCTCATACCAGGGTGGTATAGTATGGTATTGAGTTGGTAACGAGAGGTTTGAAATTTCCCCCCCCCCCCCCATAAATTTTGGAATTTTTTTGAAATCCAATAGATAATGATTAAATCTTTCCTTTTGTGCAAAAAATTCCGAAAATGACTAAACAACGAAGGAGATACCATATGGTATGGAGTTGGTAACGAGAGGGATGAAAATATTTTTTCTCAAAAAATATTGAAAATGGATATCATTTTGTAGAGCACAACAAACTCGTTCCATCTGTGCAAAAAAAATTGAAATCCGAGTTAGAATGAAGAAGCTATGATCCAATTAAGAAAACTAGGGAAAATAAATTCCTTTAATTCTCCACCCTTAGATCTGCAGTCACTTAAAAGAAGGGTTCAGATTTGGTTACTCATTGTTACTCACCCTAAGGTTACTCACCCTATCTTGAGCCGCTAACTAGGGTATTAAAACGGATTGATTATCGTGGTAATCGTTGTAATCGGTAGTATTTGGATAATTTGGTTTTGTTAATTTGAACAATTGGATTGGTTTGGTTAAAATATTTAGCTTGTTTGGTTTAGGTGATTTGGTTTAGTTTCAGAAACTTCTAACCAATGAAACCAAATTAACCAGTTAAGTAATTATCTATATATCTAATATATATTATATAAACATAATATTTTGCATAAAAACTCAACAACCAAACGTTCCTCTATT